TGAAGGAGTTATTTATTCTTGATACAAATTTTTTTTCATTTATATTTGTGGAAAATACCTTAGACAGTCTGTAGCTTACCTTTTCACTCTCTTTAGAGAATGTTTTGTTGTACAGAAGTTTACAACTGTAATACTGTAATGTAGTTATTCGGGCTAAGTGATAAATAAGATCACTAAATTTAATAATCATTTCTATTATGGTTTGTACTTTTTGTATCTTGCCTATAAAATCTTGTAGGGCCTGAGATAGTAAAGATATTATGCTGAATATTTTCTATAAATTTTATTTTTCATATTTAGATAGTTATTCCATAGGAATTGGTTTTTGTGTATGGTATGAATAGAGATGCCATTATATTTTTTTCATATGGATAAACAATTGGCCCAGCACCATTTATTAAGTATGACATCCTTTCTTTTTTTTTTTGTTTTGTTCTTATTTTATTTTCATTTTTATTTTTTTCTTGACATCCTTTCTTGACTGATATGCAATGCCATTGCTTTTGTCTCCCATTTTCAAATATACATAGACCTGTTTCTAGACTCTCTATATCAGGGGTCCTCAAACTTTTTAAACAGAGGGCCAGTTCACTGTCCCTCAGACCGTTGGAGGGCCGGACTATAGTTTAAAAAAAAACTATGAACAAATTCCTATGCACACTGCACATATCTTATTTTGAAGTAAAAAAACAAAACGGGAACAAATACAATACTTGTATTTGCATGTGGCCCGCGGGCCGTAGTTTGAGGACCCCTGCTCTATATTGTCCCACTTATCTATCTCTAGTAGCCACATTTAAAAAGATTTTTTTAAAAAACCAAGTAAGTGAATTTATAATTATACCAAAATAAAAGGCTTAATTTTTAAAAATTTCATAAAAGAAACTGTTAAAATTCTTAATATATTTAACTCACTATATCTAAAATATTATCATTTTAACATCTGCTCAATAAAAATAGAGATATTTTTCATTCTTTTTTTATACTAGGCCTTTATAATAAGATGTGTGTTTTGCACTGTCAGCACATCTCAATTTGAAGTAGCCACAAACCAAATGTTCGATGGCGTCATGTGGCTAGTACTTACCATATTGGTGCAGTTCTAGCTTCACATATTGTAGAGCATGTCCTCCTCACAGCTGTTCTTTATCATCATCATGGCCATTCTCTTTGCTTATTCATATACATTTTAGGATGAGGTTGGACAGAGGAGAACCAGGGTTGGAGACCAATGGCATATTTTTCTCCTCCACTGTATTTCAATAAAGTCATCTACCCTTGTAATTTGCCAACTGGCTTTGTCTGCTTGGGAATATCATTGAATTTATTGATCAGTTTGGGAAGAATTGACATCTCTACATAGTGAATCCTTCTGCTATGAAAATAATACATTTATATAGATCTGCTTTTATGTTTTTCATAAAGTTTGGTCATCTTAATACATAAAGGTCTTTTGTTAGGTTATTTCCCAGATAAGTTATAATTCTTATTGCTGGTATGGTTTTTTAATTAAATCTTCTCGTTTGTTGATGTTAGTGGATACTAACAAGTGCTTTTAATATGTTGAAAATGTACTCAACAAACTGGCTAAATTATCTTATTAAATCTGTTTTTAATTTCTTGTCTTATTGCACTGAGGGGGCCTCCAGTCAAATGTCAAATAGAAGCAGTAATAATGGGTTTAGTTTGTCTGTGAGTAGCTGAGACACAAAATAGCAAGAGCTTAAGACAGAAGATTATTCCTCAGTTATGTAAAAGTCCAGCGTAGGCAGACTGAGGTTAGTGTGGCTGCTCTCCCTCATAGCAGTCCTCAGGAACCCAGGCTCCTTCCAGCTACTGTTTTTTCAACCCCATGAGGTTTTCATCCTCATGGTCTAATATAGCTGCCAGAGCTCTAGCCATGTTACAGAAAGATGAGCAAGGGACAAAGAAGAAAAGGGAGTAAAAGCCATGTTCCAGCTGTCTTTTAAGAAAAGTTCCTTGAAACTGCCAAACTCTATTTGTGAATATATTTTATTGGCCAGAACATATTCTCATGCCTGGTCTCACCTAGCTTCAAAGGAAGGCTTGAGATAAATCTTTTCAGAGGCATCCATATAGAAGAAACGGTGATTTTAATACAAGGAAGATAGGAAGCTAGATAATATAGAACAACTCACAGTTCTGCCACAGTGAGCAACCTTATTCTTGAATCTAAAGGAATACTTTAAACTTTAGGTTTTGGGTAGGTAATATTATTGAGTTTTTAAAAGTTTCTTCTAAGTAAGCTAGAATTTTTGTTTTAAAATCATAATTAGTGCTGAATGGTTGTAACTGCTTTTTCTGTATCTACTGAGATAATCACTTTTTTTCTCCTTCAGTTCCCTCATTTACTAATAAATTTTCTAATATTTAATCATTTTTGCATTTCTGGATTAAACCAAACTTGACCATGATGCAGTATAAATATTTTATGCATTACTGAAATTTTAATTTTTTTTATAAGATATGGTTAGCCATTTCAAGGGTACAATGCAGAGGCTTTAAGTACATTCATCGTTATACAACCATTGCCACCATTCCTTCTCTTGAATTTTTAAAATCTTCCCATACTGAATCTCAGTATTCAGTAGAAATTACCTCTCCATTCCTCCCTGCATCCAGCCCCTGGCAACCACCATTCTACTTTCTGTCTCTATAAATTAGACTACTCTAGGTACCTTATGTAAGTGGAATCATATAATATCCGCCCTTTTGTGACTAGTCTATTTCACTTAGCAGAAAGTTCTCAAGGTTCATCTATGTTGTAGCAATTATCAGAACTTCCTTTCTTTTTCAAGGCTGAATAATATTCCATTGTATATTTAGACCACATTTTGTTTTTCTGATCATCTGTCAATTGACACTTGGCATGCTTCTAACTTTTGGCTCTTGTGAATAATGTTGCTATGAAAGAAATGTAAAAAATATGTATTCCAGACCCTGCTTTCAATTCTTTTGGGTATATACCGAGAAGTAGCATTGCTGGACCATATGTTAATTATATTTTTAAGGAACTGACAGACTATTTTCCATTTTAATTCTCACAACAGTGCAAATCAGTTTCAATTTCTCAACATCCTTGCCACCACTTGTTTTTTTTCTTTTTTTAAAAAATATTCATCTTAATGAGTGTGATGTGGTAATTCATTGTGGTTTTGACTTGCATTTCTTAGTGATTAGTGACATTGAGCATCTTTTTATGTTTGTCCTAGTCATTTGTATATTTTCCTTGAGGAAATCTCTATTCAAGCCCTTTGCTGAGTTTAAAATTGGGTTATTTTTTGTTGTTTTTGAGTTATAGGAGCTTTTATATATTCTGGGTATTAACCCCTTATCACATATATGATTTGCAAATATTTTTTCCCATTCCGCGGTTGCCCTTTCACTCTGTTGATAATATACTTTGGTGCACAAAAGTTTTACATTTATATGTACTTCAGTGTATCTATTTTTTTCTTTTGTTGCCTGTGCTTTTGGTGTCATATCCAAGAAATTATTGCCAAATCCATTGTCATGAATATTTCCCCCATGTTTTCTTCTAAGAATTTTATAGTTTTAGCTCTTATGTTTAGGTCTTTATTCCATTTTGCATTAATGTTTGTATATGGTATAAACTAAGAGTCCAACTTCATTCTTTTGCCTGTGGATAAGCCAGTTTTTCCAACTGAATTTGGTTCTGACGGTATTTTATTTAAGACTTTTGCCCCTGGGAAATACTACTTTGATTCATCCTCTGGTCCTTTGCCGGAATCTTGTCACAATCCTCCCTGACGTTTAGCTTGGGCTTGATACTCCCAATGACAGTACGCTCACTACTTAATAAAGTAGCTTTTCCCCTGGTAAGAACCGTTGTATCTGGTAGAAAAATGGTCTCCATTTTGAGCACAAACCTTGTAGCATCCATCCGTTGGTCCTGGTTTGTCTTCTGGGGCTGTAAGAATAGGCCAGCATTCTTTTAAAGGAAAGTACTTCGATTTCAGCACATAACACAACTACATGGTGGGCAACTGCGTGCCGGGTTTCTAAAGTTCATCCCGTTTACTCCACAAAGCAATCTGTAAAGAGGTCCTATTATTAATTCCTATTTTGCAGAGGGAGCAAAGAAGGCTTGAAGAGTAATAATTTTCACAAGGTCAAACAGTTATGTAAATGGTACCACTGAAGTTTCAAAGGCAGTGGCCTTAACCACTCTACACACTGCCCCTCCCCTCTTCTCCAACAGGCAGCTCAGAACTCTATTGGATCTTCAATTATTCTCACCCTGTCCCATCCTAGGAAGATTTTAAGTGTTCCGATTAAAATTGACATCAAGCACAATTGTTCTCGTAAGGTGCTTTAAGGGTAGAGAACAGAGGGCTCCTTAGCTCCTTTGGCCTGAGCACCATGTCCCACTAATGGCACATGTGATCGGGTTAGCAGTTTGGGCAGCTGCCACCAAAGAAAACTTCTAAAACTTTATCATGTCTCCTGCTGCTAAAGCAACTCTCCCCATCCACACTGTCCAGGTGAGTTATTTCTAATCAATGTGAAGGACTTTTCTTTCCTCTTCACTGAATTCAAACATCTCTCCAAGTCCATCTGGATCTTGATCCTGCCATTATTTTATAGCTAACATCTGTATAATATTCACTATGTGCCAGCACAGACCTTTCTGTATATTAACACGAATAATCCTCACAACCCAATGACATCCACACCATCATCCCTATTTTACAAAGTAGCAGAGCAGTTAAGTAACTCACCCAAGGTCACAGAGCTAGTCCATGGCAGAACCAGAATTCAAGCCCAGAAAGTCAGGTTCCAGAATTTGTGCTCTCACCTCTATACTGTGTTGCCTCCAAACATCTGACAATCTCAGCCACTTTTCTGGAGCCCAAAAGATTGACACACACTTAGGGACCTCCTTTTTTTTTTTTTTTTAAACAAAGAGAGGACAGATCAAGGACCCAGAGGCTTTGAAAGATAACAATATTAAGTCAGGATATAATATAACAGTTTATTTCACTCTGTTTATTTCCCCTTTGGTTTCTACTTATGATACTGGTGTTTCATTTGGTAGTAATAACATTTCCTTCTAAAATAAATCTAAGTTAAAATAAGTGAGTTGATGTTAAGAAGTGTTAATAGTGTAAGTGGTTTTCAGATATGACAAATTGTAATGGTCATAGGAATATCAGTGAAGCTTTGGAAAGAACGTGTTCAGTAAAGATAGGTGAGACTTTGCCACAATGACCAAAATAAGCACATGCCTCCGTGCTAACACAGCAGATATTTACTGCTCACTTACAATACATATCTGGCATGGGCTGGCAGGGGGCTCTTCGCTTCCTGGTGACTCCATATCTGTATGTGCTTCCACAACAACCTAAGTACTAGCTCTTAAACCTTCTGCTCAGGTGTGACACAGATGGTTTCTGTTCACATTTCATTGGCCAAGACAAGTCACATGGTCACATCCAACTTCGAAGGAGGCAAGGAAGTGTAATCCTGCCATGTGCCTGAAAGGAGAGAAGTGGAATTGAGAACAGCTCACAGAGACCCTGAGTAAAAGAGCCTGAAAGATGGGTCTAGAAAGGTAGGCCAAGTCATGACTCATTGGATTGTTCTGTCCCAGCACCTGTTCCCAGAGACACCACCATCTGTTAAGCTGATACTTCTCCCAGGCAGCACCTCAGGATTCCTTTTGATTTCATAAGTGGGTTCAGCTGAGCTCTGTGGCCAGTTTTTGTTTCTTCCCTGAAGGTAAATGAGGCAGTTTGGGCTTTGGCTGAGCTAGGATTTGGTTCTGTCACTGTTTTGAAGAGATGGCCAAGGATGGGTAATTGGAAAGGAGAGAAATTCAAGGGTGTGTGTGTGTGTGTGGTGAGGGGGCGGGGGAGTTCAAGGGAGAAGGGAGCCTCACCCAGTGCTTGGTTATCTGATTATCGGGAGGCTTCCTGGAGGCATTTGCAAAGTGGGTCCTGAGGGCTCGGAAGCACCTGGAAGCTCATTAAACATGTGATGCCTGGGCCCACTGTTGACCCTGGAGCCTTGAGGTGGGACCTGAGGCATCTGAATTTTTAATAATGACCACCAATGATTCCAATGGACACAGAAAACTGAGACAGACTGAATTTTGGGGAGAACATTTCCTGTAAGTCTAGAGGTCTTAGCACAGTGGTTCTCAATCAGGGGTTATTTTGAACTCCAAAGGACATATGGCAATGTCTGGAGATAATTTTGGTTGGCATACCTTGCGGTGGAGGGGGGACGAGTGCTACAGGCTTCTAGAGGGCAGAGGCCAGAGATGCTGCCAAGCACCCTACAATGCACAGGACAGTCCAGCCCCTACAACAATGAGCTATTTAGCCCAAAATGTCAGTAGTGCCAAGGTCAAGAAACCCTGCTTAACGAGAGTTGAAGTCTTCCAAATGAAAAGGCACAAATGATTTTTAATCTTCTCTCTTAATTTTACTTTCCAAAATGTCTCTGATAAGCATAGGATCCTTTTCATTGAAAACATAGTGTGCACCAAGCATTTCATGTGCATTATATCAGTTTCTCCTAAAAAAGTCTTTTCAGTCATTTATCTAACAAATATCTATTAAGCACCTATTATGCATTTAATTTTAAACTGTTCAAGATGTGGGGTGCACCCTGGGGAATACAGTAGACAAGAATCATCTCCTGAATGGGGTGGAGGAGATGTACAAAGGCCCTGAGACAGGAAAGAAAAACAAAAACAAAGCTAGTGTGGCTGCTAGTGTGGGGTGGGGCGAGTGAAGTGAAATTAGGTTGGATATGTAGAGATACAGAAACAAGGTTGGGTAGGCCTCAGTCCATGGACATTTTGGATTTTATGAGTTTTGTTATAAATGCATAGGAAGCTGTAATAGTTTAAGAGAGGGACCTGGTCCAATCTGTTTTATAAGATCATCCCTGGACTCTGGGTAAAGAATGGGTATGGGACCCAGAGTGGAGGTCAAAGAGAAGTGAACAGACTTTTACAGACCTGGAGAGATGATGGTGTTGTGGGCAAGGCTGGCTGTAGTGGAGATGAAAAGACGATGAAAATTTGAGATTCCGTTAGAGGTGGCAAGAACTGGATTTCTGATGTGTTGGGAGGGATGGGAGGAAAGACACAAAGGTAGTGACTCCAGGACTTGGGCTTGAATAACGGAGAAGGGGGTGGGGTGATGGGATGTGACAATTAATGTAGATATTATTATTAATATTCTCTTTTTAAAAATGTATTTTTATTTACTTCAGAGAGGAAGGGAGAGGGAGAGAGATAGAAACATTGATGATGAGAGAGAATCATCATCGATCAGCTGCCTGCTGCACGCCTCACACTGGAGATCTGGCCCCAAACCCAGGCATATGCCATGACCAGGAATGGAACCGTGACCTCCTGGTTCATAGGTCGATGCTCAACCACTGAGCACACTGGCCGGTCTTAATATTCTCTTTTTAAGACTAAGGAAGGGAAGTGAATTGTTCTGCTTTACAAAACTAATAAGTGGACTCAAATTCAGTTGTATCTAACTCCAAGGATCATCTTTTCCCAGTCTTCCGGACACACACATTAATTTTTATGATAGTAATATGAAATATTAAGATATTAAATATCCCTGAATGCAAACGAGGAATTCCACAGGGAGCCAGCACAAAACCTGGGACCCTCTTTAAAAGCACCTGGACATTGCAACCGGGTGTGGGGAATATAAATTTCGTAGATAGTGGACTACAGCGCGGTACCGCCGTGGGGAACCGGTTTTAAAATCTTGCGTTCTTATCGATGCAGTGGCCAGGAGTTGGTGTGTGACAGGAGGGAATTTAGCTTGTCCCTAACTAAACCAAGTGAGTTGTGCTGAGCTGTCTTCCGCTGAATTGGGAGAGAGTGGTCCGTCTGGGCCTGTGACTGGTGGGATTGTAATGCAACTTTCGCTGTGATTGGTGAAGCTCGTGTGGTTATTTAGTTTCTGAGAGCCAGTTCTTTTTGTTGGCCACTAGGAGGAGCCCAAGACGCTCAAAGCGCGGCGCTGCGGTGCCTCTGGGCTGCTTTCTGATGGACGCCCTTGGGCTTTGCGCGGCGTCCCAGGGCAACTGGGAGACAGGTGGCCACGCTTCTTTGCACAGCCCCTACGGCCCCTTCCTCTGGCTCTCAGCCCCGCAGAGGACATTGGCTGACCAAGGGGTGGGGCCGCGAGTTCGCGAAGGTTTGTGAAGGCTCAGATCCAAATTACAAAATTGTGGAGTCTTGTCGGGTGAGACTCAGCAGCTGCCCTCCCTCTGCTGCCCCTTCTGCTTGCTTCTGAGCCTTCTCTCAAGTTTATCAGCCTCCATGGCGCCCTTTAAGATCCTGAAAGGACTTTTACACAGTAGTATCACACTGCAGCTTAGAACTGTCCCTTGAGGATAAAGGCCACTAGCTCAGAGACCACCCTATGCAGAAATAATCCCTACAGTCCCCAGGCGCTATTACATCCAGCATTTGAAATTCGTCTCTTTTTTAATTGCTTGCATACTATTTCCACTGTGCCTCCCCACCGAAATGGAGCTCTGTGGAGGAGGGAATAGGATGGCCAGATCCAATACAGAACACCCAGTTACATTTGAACTTGAGGATAAACAACAGAGTTTTAAGTATAAGAGTGCCCCAGGTGTTATTTGGTACATACTTATACTAAAATAATTATTCATCGTTTATTTAAAATTCAAATTTAATTGGGCATCCTGTATCTTTATTTGCTCAAACATCCACAACAGTGCACATGGAAGGGGCCGGATAAATGTTGGAAGATTAGATGGACAAATTCCTTCCTTCCTTCATTTATTCATCCAACCCTTTATATTAAGTTCCAGCTAGGTTCTGGGAATATAAGGGTCAAAGAGGAAGAGGCAGACAAATAACCAGTAACCACCACTGGATTACACTCCGATGACGATGACGTAAAGCACTGGGGACTGTGGGAGCACGAGGAGGAATGGGACCCTGCCCAAGCCAGCAGGACTGCCCAGAGGAAGATGGCTAAGATGGGACTTAGAGGATGAGAATTTGAAGAAAGAGGTGTGACCGCTGCTCTGGGCAGAAGGCCTGGCATGTGTAAAGGCCAGAGACAAGGCTGTGGGATTCTGAAAACTGCAAGTGGCTGGGATGGGGGCAGCTGTGCAGTGTAGATGGGGCTCAGAAAGAGGTGAGGAGACTCACATTCACTGAGCATCAGTACTCACCAGTCAGTGATTGTGCCCATTGTATGGATGAGGACATTGAAACTCGGAGAAGTGAAGTCTCTGGCCTAGGGCTACAGTCTGCGTGGAAAAAGCTTAGCTTCACACTCAGGCCTGGCAGGCTCTGAGGCCGGCACTCTTCTGGAAAAGCCTCTGGGTTGAGCATTCTCACCCCAATTGGAGAATGAGGAAACTAAGGCCCAGAAAGGTGATAGGGTCCTCCCTGTGAATATGGCTCCGTCTGGTGTAGCAGGAGAACACCGAGGCAGTCTGAGACGTATGGTGTATCTCACACACTCCCCAGAGGGACAACAGGGGGGCTGGGGCAGGACCCAGGAGTCCAGGCCACTGTCTCCCATTCCTGTTTGGGTTGGGCCTCTAGAACCCCCTTGCTCACCCCTGTGGCTTATTCCTTGCATGGGTCCTGGGCGGGTCTGCAGTTTCCATGGGACCGCCTCCCACCACCCCTGAAATCTCATTGTGACCAGTATTAAGAGATTAACTCTGTCCAGCAGCCCTTAAGGGTCTTGGGTGCCAGGGTGGCAGTGGGAGCTCCCTCAAGGATGAAGCGGTTGCCCACTGTGTGGGACCCCATAGCACCAGGAGGACGATGTCAGACTGGGGCCAGGGCTTCCCCCGGGACCCACCAGGTATGGTCCCAGCTCCACATCTAACTGGAGAGGAGGATGGGGATGGGAGAGAGACACAGGACCAAGGGGAGGAGTCCAGATTTGGAGCAGGGTAGAGACCTTGTACTCCTAGCCCCCGCCCCAGGAAGGCCCAGGGCCCAGATGGGCTCACCCCATTCTAATCAAGGCAGCATTCAGGTTTCCTCAACAAGGTAAGGAGAGCCTCACAGAGTCTTTTAAGAGTGCTTCAAAACTAACTAAAGACCAGCTACCCAATCTTCTTCATTTTTGCTTTGGGGACATTGAGGCACAGAGTGAGAAAGTGACTTGTCCAGGGTTAGTGAGTTCAAGTTAGCAGTTCAAGAATCCCGGGGGAGTCCTGAAGTAGCCTGAGCAGAAAACGTTTGCTCAAAATGTCCCCTCTGCCTTGAATTCCAAATTCCCCTCCTTGACTTGTAGGAATAGGGCCCCCTCAGTCTTCTTTGCCCGGGCCTCTTCCATCAGCCCTGCTTTCCTTCCCTCCCAGCCTCCCCTCTGCTGCCCTCCCCTGCCACCAGCACAGCCTGAGGCTGGCAGAGTTCCCGGGAGGCTACACTCTGCTGGAGGCCACGACCACCAGGCCTGAAGTGTCCCATCCAGGGACCATTCCCTCACTGGGTTACCATCTGGATGACTTTATAAACATTTCTCTTGACTGCTTTAGCCCCTCTGTGACTTTGGTGCCCAGACACAGTGGAGGCCCTGACGGTCCAACCCCACCCCCCCACCCCCTGCCAGGCCTGCCCTGGAGAAGTGTACGCTCCTGGAAGGCCACAGTGGGGCAGGGGGACCAACACCTTCTCTGGAGCCGGGCAGAGAGAGCTCAGACACCATTGACTCAGCAGTCTGAGCCTCAGTTTCCTCAGGTGTGAAGGGGCAAGAACCCTTCCTCAAAGCTTGCTCACAAATGCTATGGAAAAATCTGCAAGCTCCACTGTTAAATGAGCAAGAAAGGTACAGAACAGTGTAAGGGGCGTGGATGATGACAGATGACCTTATATGCTGCCTCAAGAAAACTTGGAGGATACACAGGAAAGTAAGAGAAGTGGTTACCTATGTGAAGAGGGGAGTGGACTGGTGGGCAGGACACAGGGGAGGAAGCAAGGCTTCTCAAAGTGCATCTTTTATATTGTTTTGATTTGGGGACCATCCGAAGGTAGTGCCGATTAAAAAATAAATTTTAAAATGTTAACAAATTAGGTAAACTATCAAATCATCATCATCACATGTACCTCATTAAGATGACAGGTGTGCAGTGAGGATGGAGACCCATGCACTAGGAGTTGATTAAAGGAACAGGGAAAGCCTAACTCTGAGTCTCTGAATTCCTGTGCCCTTTATTTTCAGTCAGCCTCATTTTGCCAGTAGCAAAATAACGGCCATGGATACTGTCAGGCTTCCTGGAAGGCCTGGATCAGGAGCTTCCCACTTGCTGGCCACAGTGCCAGGCACTGTCTGAATATCCTCTCACTGAATTGGCATTCTGACTCTATGAGGAAGCTGTTGTCATTCCCACTTTGCAGATGGGCAAACTGAGACTCACTGAAGGTGCAACTAGTAAGTTATAGAACTTGAATGCACAACTAGGCCTTTTCTGCTCCAAATTTCAAGCCCTTCTACAGTGGGTCTCAATTTTGGCTGCACATCAGAATCACCTGAAAGCTTACAAAAATACTGAAACCTCGAGCCCACCCACCCCTACTACCAAGATTTGATCATTGGTCTGTGATGGAGCTTGGACATAGTATTTTTTAAAGGCCCTAGGCAATTCTAATTCACTATCGGGGTTGCATCTCTGCTTTATGCTAGATAACTTTTCAAATGGGAAACCAAGACCAGGGAGGGAAATAACCTTGCCCAAGGTCACATAGTGGCTAGAAACAGAGCCGGGGCAGGGCTGACACAGAGCCTTTGTGAAAATAATAAAAGGTGTCCCCCACTCCCTCTGGGCAGGCAAATCCCCATGGGCACTTGGCTTGGTAAGTGGCACAAGGGCTGGATTTCCACCTCCATTTGCTGCCTTAGCCAGAGAACCTTCGTTCAGTGAGCAACCTGTATCCTATTTGCAGTGGCCCTGCTACGAGTCTCAGGATTCCCAAACGCTTCACTTCAGCCATCTCCTGGAGCCCTTTAGAATAAGGGTGCAGGGAGACCAAGGGTAGTTTCTGGGATGTGGGTTCATCCCTCACCCCGAGAGCAGGGCCTGAGCCAGGCAGGGGCTCCCCATCATCCTTTAGGCCCCACAGACGCTGGGCAGGCCCTATCTAACTCCCAAGGTCACTTCTGCAGATAAAGTCAGGATCATAACCAGGAGAGAGAAACATAAACAGGATAGCAACAGCCTCAGCCCAGAAGTCACAAGCCACCTGGCAGGAGACAGCCTATGGGGAGGCCCCGCCCACACAGATCCAAGTCCTCCTGGCTTCCTTCCTGATCATTTTCCAGACCACATTCTCTACCCTGTGTCTCCCACAATGCCCTGCTCTCTGGCCACAGCAGCTTCCGTGCCCGCCCCCATCACCTACTGTGTTCTCCACTTCTAGACATTTTCTCTGCCCAGGATGCCTCCTTCTCCAGGAATCCATCCCCAGCCACTCCAGCATAGAGACTTGTCTTTCTTCTCCCGCCTTCCAGCCCTCAAAGCCCATGCCATGCATAAAGCCCACCTGTGTCTTGGGATGGAGCCTATCTTATCCTCATACTGGACACTTGTCATTGAGCACCTACTGTGTACCAGCCCCGGAGGGCAGGGCGGCCTTGGAGCTAGGAACACAGACTCTGGAGCCAGACTGTTCGGGTTGGAACTCCAGCTCTTGTTTCTTATAAGCGGTGTGAGGTTGGCATATGACTTAACTTTTCTGTGCCTCAGGTCTGGGTGATAAAAACATTACCTACCTCACAGAGTGGCTGTGAAGATTAATGAGCCCCCCCCCCCAAAAAAAAAGCTTTATGAACATTGGCATGATTATCATTGCCTACGTCTCAGCCCATTTTATCCTCACAACAACCCAAGGAGTTAGGGACTGTTATTCCCAACTTACAGGTGAGGAAATGGAGGCACAGAGGGATTGTCAGCGTAGGGCTCCGCATCTTTCTCTATGGCCTGATGCCTGCAGAGAGAGGACGTGGCTAAATGAGTTAGAACTTGGAGCCCCTGGTTTCAGCTCATGGCTGCTCCTTGAGGACCCACAGGACACAAAGCCAGGTGAGTTCCCTGACTTAGGCCTCCTGGTTGCTCTCAGGTGCCACTCTGACCCCAGCCAGCCCCGGGAGGGAGGGTGAATGGTGGAGGAGGGCGTTTAAGTACCATTTGTTCACTAATATCCAGAATACATCACTGAGTCCCAGAGAGAGCCTCTGTCTTCCCTATCCTAGCTGGAGACCCAGGATACCCGGGGTGACGTGTTGCTTCCCCGCTCTGGCCTCCAGCTCCCCATCTGTACAATGACTGAGGGGATAAGTCTGGACCAGCAAGCAGTCTTGCAGTTCTCATTATCCATACCTGGCTCAACCTTTCAAATGAATTATTGAGGACCAGCACACCTGAGAGGCAGGCACTGGGTGAAGCAGGGCCTGTGCACACACTCCCTTAGCTCCTGGGAACCTCAGAACCCACTTTGAAAGGCCCCAGGCCACCTCCTCCTACAGGCTCTCCTGGCTCTGACACTGCAGGATTCTCGAATCCCAAGCTCAAAAGCTGCCGCTTCACATGGAAAGCTTCCCCCCAGCTGCCTTTATCTCTCTTTGGTAACAGAGCAAATTTGCTCAGGACCCAGAACAGGGGGAACAAGCAAACTGTTGACTCTTAAGCAAAACCTCCCCTTTGGAGAGCAGGCAGAGGATGTGCGTGGGGAGGCCAGCGGCCTCTTGCATAACCTGGGCGGCCTCCTGCCCACCCAGATCTTTTCAGGGTTAGGGGTGAAGCAAACCGCAAACTCATGCCCAGTTAATTTTTTAAGGCAAAATCAACAGGCTCAGCAATGATTAGCAGGCAGGTAAGTTCGTCTTAATTGTGCTGAGGACAGGGAGGAAGGAGGCTCCTGGAGGCCCAAGGATGGGGCTCAGTTATCAGTTAACCACATGAATGTTGTTTCCTTCCAAACCCACTGGCCTTCAGCCCCAAGCTCCCTCATCTTCCTCTCATGGCAACCCAGTGGCCATCCGTCACTGAGTGAACACACACCGCCATCCCGGGTCTGCAAGCGGTAGACCCTCGAGGGCTGTGATGGATAAAAGGGGTCCTCCCAGAGCTTGTGGTCTTCTTGTTAAGGCAAAGCTCCCCCACGACCGCTGTGTGGCCTTGAGTATGTTTCTTCCACCCTGTGGGGCTTAGCGAGGGGCCGGGTCTGTGGCTCAACCTGCAGCCACTCCCCTGGGGCTCAGTGTCCTCATCCACCAAATGTCTCGAACTTCTGCGAGGTCATAATTAGATTAAGTCCACGTGGCCTGTACCCCGGGGGGAGGAGGATGGTATGAGCAGTGTTTTAGGAGTCTAGGGGACAGAAAAGATGCCCAGAACAGGGAAGGTGCCTACCTGGTATCTGCTGTCGGTGCCAACAAGCATCAGATCCCAGCTCCAGGAAGAGGGCTCCTCTCAGGTGCGAGGCAGGGGTCCCTGTGGGGTGGGATGGAGCTGCAGGAATGGCCTGACAGACCCCCTGGGGCAGGACCTCTTCCTCCCAGACCTTGGGAGCTGCCAAAGGAAGCAGCCCTGGGCCTGCTGGCTGCCTGGACTGGAGTTTGGTCAGTGGTTGGGGACCTATATTGTGAGAAACTTAGGACTTTGTCCACAAACTGGAATTTGAAATTTCAAAGGGGCAAAACTGAAGGGCCCTACCCCAGAGTAGAGATGGCTCTTGGCTTCTTTCCCCCACGACTTTTGTTCTTTGTCTTGATAAGTCCCTGGTTCCCGCACCACAAGCGGTGGGCGGGGAGAAGAAACAGGAGATAGCAGGTGGTGAGTACCCAGGGGACGCAAAGGTGCCAGGCGGCCCTGGGAGCCGGGCTCTGGAGGATGCCCCTGAACCTGCACATGCCGGGGACAGGCTCCTTCGCTTCTCAGGTCTCTGGGCTCCTGGCAGGAACCGGACAGTGGACCCGCCAGCCCAGTGCGCCAGAATTCTGAGGTTATTTTGTGGGGCCCCAGGACAGAGGCAGCCTGTAGGGGTTGAAGCCCTCAGCTCCGGAGTCATCCTAGAGCTCAGATCACGTCCCCTCTTGTCATGACCTGTATGGCCTTAGGCAAGTCACACCACCTCTCAGCGTCTCTGTTTTGTCATTTGTAAAGGGAGAACAGTGAAAAGTTCTCAGCTCTGGGTCTAGCACAGACTCTCCAGAAACATTAGCCATTATTATAATTTAAAAAAAAAATACGTGGCTCACAGTGGCAGCTCCCTTAGCCACTGTCCACACCAGATGCCTGAGCACCCTGCCCACAGCTGGGTCTCAGCAATCCTTCCCCAACACCCGGTGCCCTCCTTTCCTTCCCGAGGCCTTAGTTTCTCCATCTGCAACATGGAGTTGTCCTCTGGGTGAGCTCTGAGGGCCTTTGCTATTTATTCCCTGGGAGCTGTTGCATGTTGAGCTGGGGTCTGATGGCCCAAGGGGGCGGGGCAGCGGTAAAGAGGGCTGCTGAGGAGCATTTGAGATCTTGATCCCTGGCATAGGTGAGTAGTTTGGCTCAAATAAGCTCTTATAAAAATTTTAATAAAAGAAGGGCTGCTGAGTTGATGGTGTGGAGGCCAGGGTTTGTTTAGGGCTGGGCATGCCATCGCTAGGAGCTCTTCTGTGCAGGGGTCCTGATTATGTGACCAGTGGGTCAAGAGTCAACCACCAATGACAGCAATTGCTACTGTTGCACTATATGCCTACACTTGGCCATTATAGCCCAACTGTCACTGTGAAGAACGCGTCAACCCATTTATCTAATGCCAAACTAAGGCTGAGTGAGGTGGAACCTGTGGTCACAAAGTTTGGGAAGCTGGCAGTGCCTGGATTTTGACTCAGGTCTTTCTGATTTCAAGATCTGTGGTTGATTCTATGGGTTGGGGTTTGGGTGGGGCCTGGAGGTGGGACTAACAACCTTATAGTAGTATCTCATTTAATTGTCACCGGAAACTACAAATTAGGCCCATTTTACAGAAGGAGAAACCAAGACTTCAAAATAATAACTTGCCTGAGACCACAGAGCCAGTAGATCTTATAGGCGGTGGGTTGTTTAGATGAGGAACAAGTATCTAGAATACATTGTTTGGCATCAGCTAAGGGTCGGGTAAATCATGTATGTAATGGATTACATAAGTTATATAGTTCAGGAGTGGGTAGATTTACTTTTTCGGTACGTTGTGATGGGTAGGATATGTCTGGGATATGAAATAGGTTTCAGAAATGTACCTCATAGACAGTAGGTCATATGTTGTACATTTGGTAGAGTGTGTATGTCATGGTTTGTATAATTAGCTGCTTGTCATGTGCAGGCTGTCTACCTGGTCGTTCTTGTATGCAAGCGGTCATGTAAGTGGCATGACATGGCTCACCCTTGTTGATCATAGACCTTATTGGATTCAATCTAAGATGCCATCCATAGAGAGTGAAAGATTGTTATATTTGTTACCAATTAAACTCTGACATGCCAACAACCACATTCCGCTTTTGGGAATGTGGAACGTGCCTCTTTTTGTGTGTGTGAGAGTTTCATAACTTTATTCAACAAACAGCAGTTAGTTGTCATCCACGTTAGCTGTAGATTTTTGAAAGTGGTGACAGGTACATAAGCGACCAAGGTACACAGTTGACTTGACCCACTGGTCACACTGGCGACCAAGGTATTCATCCACATTACGTTTTCTGGACAAACGTACCCGGATACGAGATGGGGCATTCCTTATTCCTTTGGCCCAGACAGCTTTGTTCGGCCTGGCCTCAATGCGCACGTCTGGAGTCCCCGTCTCCTTCATGGCAAATTTCCAGGTCTCCTTGAGTGCCCAAGGGGCACGCCTCTTGAACCCCACGCGATGGATGCGCTTGTGGATGTTGATAGTGTGCTCCCTGCTCACCACCTCGTTGATGGCGGAGCGGCCCTTCTTCTTCTCGCCACCCTTCTTTGCGGGAGCCGTCGTGCCTGGCAAGTTGGAAAGACTGGAATGTGCCTCTTATGTGTAGCATGTATTGCTAGATTATGAGAGGAGTAGCTGTGTGCGTCTTGTCACAGGTGCCAGACAGGTGGCAGGACCTGGAGTCAGCCCTTGGAGACACCCCCCCAAGAGCTGCCCCTCCTTCCCCTTTGTGCTTATCCCTTAGTCAGGTCTCCAGCCCAGCTCAGCACCGCCCCCAAGGCCACTGGAGTCAGGATAAGATGTCCTGGGGCGGGGGGGGGGGGGGGGGGGACCCACCAGTAGTTGAAATCTTCTTCAGGCCCTTATGGAATCTCAAAGTGTGGGATGTGGCGGGGGCACTCTCTCTCCCTCCCTTGAGTTCTTATTCTGATATAACAAATGGGCCAGGATCTGCTCCCCATTCTACAGAGAGGGAAATTGAGACCCTGAGAGAGATGTGATTTAAACAAAGTTATCTGAATGGTGACAGCTAATTCCTAAACTCAGGCCTCTCGGCCACAAATCCAGCCTCTCTTCTCCTTCTGAACAATTGCTCTCCCCACCTCCCCCCCCCAGTTATCTCAGCTCCAGGAGAACAAAGCTACGCAGGGCAGAGAGAAGGCTTTTAATAATTGAAAGAATATGAGGAGGGTGCCTCCACACCCCTTCAAACATACACCGCCTCTCCCACTGGTTTGCCTACGCATTAATTCATCCATCTATTTACTCATTTACTCATTAGTTCACTAATTCACCCACTCATTAATTCACTCATTCACACATGAATTCACCCTGTCTGTAATCACTCACTCTTTTTTTTTTCTTTTTATTGATTTCAGAGAGAGGAAAAGAGAGAGAGAGAGAAATATCAATGATGAGAGAGAATCATTGGTAGCTGCCTCCTGCATGCCCCCTACTGGGGATTGAGCCTGAAACCCAGGCACCTGCCCTGACTTGGAATGGAACCGTGACCTCCTGGTTCATGGGAAGATGCTCAACCACTGAGCCACACTGGCTGGGCAAATTCACTCACTCATTCACCCACCCACTCATTAGTTCACTCACCAATTCACCCACCCTCACTAATTGTCTCTCTCACTAATTCACCCACTCTTGCTTACTGTTTTAACAAATCCTGCCACCGCAGTCCTTTCAGCTGAAAGAGGACAGGCTCCCAGGCCACCAAACCTCGGTCCTTCTACCTCTGCCCAGTGATTTCTACCTTTTGCTTCGCAACCTTACCTCTCCAGCCAGATTGGGAGCTCATGGAAGCGTCTGTGGAGAGGGCAATGAGGACTGGAGGTAGGAGGAGAAATGGATGAGCCATGAGCTGAAGGCAGACAGGACCAGCTGCACCATGTCCAGGGCCCAGTCCAAAATGAAAAGGCAGGGCCCTATGTTCAGAAATTGTTAAGAATTTCAGCAACAGCAGAGCATTAAACCAAGCCCCAAACCCCAGTGTGCAGCTGCTCAGGTGGCATTCCCACAATGCCCACTCCAAAGGCAGGAGACGGGTGGAGAGGAACGAGGGAGACAAGAAGGGGTGTCAGGAAGCAGAAGGGAAGGACACTTGCTAGGCACCGTTTGGTGCTTTATTAATGTCCATCTCACTTAACACTCAGACCACCCTGGCACTTGGTTGAGCCTCAGTTTCCTCCTCTATAAAATGCATTTCACCCAAAATAATTTGCCCAAGGTCACGATTAGTAGGTGGTAGGTGTCTGACTGTAAGCCCGGGCCTGTGGGGCTGCAAGCCTGTCTCTGCCTATTCTGGGGTGAGGGAGGGAGGGAACCAGGAGGCTGTGACAGGGAAATGGGAGGTGGAGGTGGTCTGGGCCTGAGCAGCTGGGCTCCATAGCTGTGGAGCTATGGTGGCCAGAGTCGGGTACTGGGGAGCAGGGGAGTGGAACCAGAGGTGAGTCTGGCCCTACCAAACTGCCTATCCATTCTGCCCCTAAAGGAAGTAGGAAATGGAAGGAAGCTCCCAGGACGGGGATCCAGAAGATTGGTGTCGGGCCTGGGATTTGGGTTTTTAATTCATGAGCCATGAGGCAGCTTATCTGTAAGAGCATTAAGGGTAAAAGTCAATGATTTGGGAAGTCATTGAATTAGGGCACCTTGGTGGCGACTCTCAGCGTCCCAGCATATCAGCTAGAATGCCTGACTTGGAGTGACAATGACTTGGAGGGTGGCTGAGTCAGGGGGTCAGATGCATGCTGATGAGTTAGCCTCTCCATCTTGCAGAATCAATAACTGAATATTGGTGAGTAAGGCCCCACCAGTTGTAGTAGCACCCCTGGTGTCAGGCAGAAACCAACAAACAGCCAAATCCCTGCAGCCCCGCCCAGACTATCCACCAGTGGGGGAGCCGATTAACCATTAACCCCCACCCCTCCCTGGCAGAGCCTCCACCCCTTCTGGGAGGCTAGGCCCAGACTCCGGGAGATCCTCCCAGAGGACAGTTTGAAAGGCAGGAAGGCAGAGAGTGCACCTGGGAGGAGGCAGGGGGAGGGCGAAGGGCGGGGGCCGGCTCGGCCTGGAGCCTTCCGGGTGGGCATCCTGGGCAGGGCAAGTGACTGAGGAGTGGAGGGGGAGGATGCGCCTCTCCAAAACCCTGGTCGACATGGACATGGCCGACTACAGTGCTGCGCTGGACCCAGCCTACACCACCCTGGAATTTGAGAATGTGCAGGTGTTGACGATGGGCAATGGTAGGTGGAGGCACGTGTGCCCAGGAATGCCAGTTGGGGGCAGGTATGCCCAGGTGTGGGAGCAGGTCTCCGGCACCCAGTTTTGGGTTGGGAGGAGAATGATAGACGATGGCCAGGTTGGTCTGATAGGCCAGTACCGGCGTTGCCAGGTAAAGGAAATGTGCCCAGGCACAGTGACCAGAGGCATTCTGGGCCACGGGAGGCCTGCAAGAGCATATCCCCAGCAAAAGTAGCCCCAGGAATCCCTGTCAGGCCCTTCCAGTCCCTCGTACCTCAAAGCCATCCTGCTCAGCGCGTCACTGGGAGCAGGGACGTGACGGTGAGCTCCTTCTTCCCGTTCATCTCTAGTAATTGGGTCCAACATGGCCCCTTCCTGAATCCCGTGGGCCTAGGTCCAGGGAGATGGAAAGGCACGTCCAGTCCCTGGAGATGGTAGATGGAGGCACCCTGTGTTTCAGGGTGTCTTTGAGACTTGCCTGGGGTGAATGCCCCACTTAGAGAAAATGGAGTTCTCAGGGAAGTTTTGCTAAATGAGACACCAGTTAGGAGAGAGAGAGAGAGAGAAAGAGAGAGAGAGAGAGAGAGTGTGTGTGTGTGTGTGTGTGTGTGTGTGTGTGATCATGGCCTCTTCTTGGTGTGGTGCGCATGCATGAGCTCCCCTGTAGTGGGTGGGAGGTGATATACTGGGTTGGCAACTGTGTGCCCACAGAAACCATTTGCATCTTTGTGCACATTTGTCTGTGTGCACCTGTTCTGTGTCCATTTTCATTTGTGTTTGTACATTGAGTGGGTTTGTGTTGGTTGGTGTTTCTAGAGGTGCCTGTGTTTGTCTTATGTACGGAAGTGGCGGTGAGTGTGTACATGTGTCTGTGGATGTTTGCACACATGTACCATGGATGTGGATTTGTTTGTGTGCCCTATGTTTCCTGCATGGGCATTCTGACTCGTGTCCTGTGTGTACCTGCTTGTGTGTATGTGCACATCCTTGCCCTGGGGGCCGGTGCTGTTCGGTGGGCACGATTATGCAGACATGATGTGCAGGATTTTGATGTTGCCATTCACCAAATGAGATTCTCATCAGCAACATGCCCATTTGTCTTTGAGCAGATCTTATTGCTTGTATGTGTCTCTCCAGGTTTATAATCACCGAGAGCCATGGGGGGGGGGGGGGATGTTCTCCTTCACAAGGAGGTTGGGGGAAGAAAGGGACTTGAAAGCCAGGAAGTTTCTGGAGAGAAAGGTCCCTAACTGGTGGCAATTCAGCCTCGGTGGAGAAGTGGGTGGCAGCCAGCCGAGGCCAGCCTGCCACCTGCCTTCCTGCCCCGGCTCTGTGGCTTCAGCGCAGGCCTCTAAGGCTTGTGGTCAGTTTGGCTCAGCTGGAAAAAGGTGACTGCTCAGCCTGTGGTCAGTGGGCACTGTCCATAGTCAGTCTCATCAACTGCTCACCTGTCTCTGCCATCCACTTACTGTATGACCTGCATGTCACCCCTCCTCTCCTGGTCTCTTCTACAAAATGGGCGTAATCACCCCAAGTCTGCTTGCTGGCCAGCTTTTAGGAGTATCCAAGGGTCACAGGAGGAACTGAGGGACAAACATGCAGGAAATGGTAAACTAAGGAGCTGCTGCCCTAGGTGGGTGCCATGTGACCCCACAAGGACAATGTGTGCTGTCACACTCCTGGCCACAACCCAGCCCCAAGGTGCTCCCTGGGGTTGGTGCCATCTACCTTGCACAGCGCATGCCTCCAGCTCCCGGGAATCCTGTGCTCCCGAGGCAGAGCCAAGCCCCTTGATTGGGTGACCTGAAGACAGGCAGCCTCCTGCCCTGGAGCCAGAAAGATTAGGGCTCAAATTCTGGCATAGATTCTTTCGTGTTGCAACCTCAGTTTCTTCATCTGTAAAATGGGAATAAATAATAGCACCCACCCCAGGGCTTACCAGAGGATGAAATAAGATAAGGTACTTAATATCTTAGCACTGGTAACTGGTCCTGGCCCCACCTGAGTCCTCTCAGGAACTCTGAACGCCTATAAGAAAGGTTTACATTCTTTACTGGAGTTTGAAGTGGTCTGAGAGTTGGGGTTATGTTTGGCATATATCCTGGGCTGGCAGCTCAAAGGCTCCAAGGATAGCTCCCCCGTCTGTCCCCATCTCAGATTCAGAACCAAAAGCAACAGGGGCTCCTTGCTGCAGAGACCCCAGTAGACACCCCAACAAGGGCAGCAATGGCCAGAATCACCCAGCACCCCTGGGCCATATATTTGGCTCCTCTACTTCCCAGCAGTATGATGACCCTGGGCAAGCCACTTGTCCTCTCTGGGCCTTGGTGTTCTCACTTGGAGAATGGGGCTGACTCCAGGGATGAGATGACATACCTGGCAACACCCAGCCCATCCTGCCCAGGATGTGGGCACCCCTTCCCCCAGCCGCCTCCTGAATGGCCAGAAATTGTAGGGTCAGCTCTTCCCAGGGGTCTGGGGAGGCGAGGCTGAGGGAGAAAGGGCACCAGCACGGCTTAACAATTACCCCCATCTCCAGGAATAATTCACCAAGTGGAGGGGGCCGCACTCTTGGGCACCCTCGGGAGACTAGGAGATGTTCAGCCAGGTGACGGCAGGATGAAATCAGCGGAGTCTGCTCGCACATGGAGGCGGGAAGTCTTGCGCTCTGAGAGTTTTCTTCTGCAGAAACGTTCTTTCGCAAATGCTGATATCATGCTTATTCTGTGACAAACACTTGACTGAATCACCACAACACACAACAGCCCTAGGGCATTTTCCTCCTATTTTACAAGTGAGGAAAGGAAGGTGAGAAGTTAATTAATTCAGCCAAGGTCACAGGGCTACCAATAAGAGGTGGGCAAGCTGGGATTCTCACTGGGCAAAGGGCTCCAGACTCTGTGGTCTGACCGCAGCGCCATGCCCCTCTCCAGTGCTTAACTGGCTGTTCCCCAGGAATTCCAGGCCGGCCTCAGGGTTCTATGGGAACAGTGTGTCACGACTGTGTGTGCTGTGCACATGCGTGCATTCTTCAGGGGGGATGGGACACAGTGTTTATCATCTTCCGAGAGGTTTATCATCTATCCTTGGTGGAAGATTTGCTTATAAAAAGAGGGTTTGGCTACTGAATTTTTAAAAAATAATTGAAAACCACTAGAACAGTAGAACCGCCCTGTTTACATTTAGGGAAACTGAGGCCCCGGGGAAATTGAAGCAAGGAAACAAACGTGCCCAAGGTCACAGGTGAATTAGTGGCAGCATCAGTACTAGCACCAGAGACCCCCAGCATCCAAACCAAGATCTTTGTCAACTGCTTCTTTTACCCCTCCTCACCTTTATGTAGATGCAGTAGCTTTTGCCTCTGGGACAAGAGGTATTTGAGGGGTGCACATTTCCTTGTCATGACCCTCCCAGGAGGGCAAATGAGCCACAGTCCTTGGTGCATGTCTTCTCATTTCCCAGGAGGCTTGTCAGGGCCCCTGGGCACTAAGCTGAGACCCTCCCAGCCGTGGTCACTCAGTAAGAAATAAATGGCAAGACCTGGTTCTGGGCAGACACTGCAATATTTGTCCCTTCCACAGCCCTCTGTGCCCAGTCAATCAGGGTCTATAAGGCCTGGAAGCATCCTAGGGTGTGGCCAAGTTTTCATTACTTCCCAGAGAAAGCTGGGCTAGCAGTCTCCATCATGAGGGGAGCAGACTCTCACAAACAACTCTGTGAAGTCACTGTCACAATGATACCTAAGTTAGAGATGCCAAACAGGGGTTCCAAAAGGCCAAGGGGCTTGCCCAAGGTCACTGAGGGAGTGGGGACAGCATGGCATTCTGGCTGAGGCTGCAGCCCTGGGGAGCTCCCCACAACATTCATACTGGTTTGTAAATTTAAACCTCCAGAAAAACAGGGCCTCCAGGAGGTGACTTTCTGCGCTTCTGAGTCCTCCTCTTTTTTCTTCTCGTGCAGACACATCCCCATCAGAAGGTGCTAACCTCAACGCGACCAACAACCTCGGTGTCAGTGCCCTGTGCGCCATCTGTGGAGATCGGGCCACAGGCAAACACTACGGCGCCTCAAGCTGTGATGGCTGCAAGGGCTTCTTCCGAAGGAGCGTGAGAAAGAACCACATGTACTCCTGCAGGTGCGGAGCCCCGCTCGCTTGCTCGGGGCCTTGATTGCTCCAGCTGGGAAATAGGCACACTTGGGCCAATGTTCCCCAGAGTCTGTCATCTCCCTACTAGGCCCCAGGGGCATCTGCCCTTCTAGGTCTTCAAGCCTCCTTTGGTTTCCTAGGCCTGGTGGCTCCAGATGGGAACAGCCATCCTAGGAAACTCATTCACGGATCAGAAAGCTATCGGCTGCCCTTTATTGAGCCCTTACTATATGCAGGAACCATACTAAGTCCACTCACCCACTGTTATTTTCCCCACTTAGCAATTAAGGACCCATGAGGCTTAGGATCAAGCCTCTGAGGATGGGGCCCAAACCCCAAGCCGGTGCTTTTTCTAGGGCAGAAAGGAGATTGGCCCCAGGCCTTTCCACCTGCCCCAAGGGCTTCCTAAAGCCTTGGAGATCCCTCCTTTAAAAGGATCTGCCATTCTGCGTGACAGCAATAATAAAATAATAGCCATCGGTTAGGAGCATGTGCCATGTATGGATACTGTGCCAGGCTCCATCCGTGTATTATCTTCCCCCGGTCAACGCCCCTCTGAGGTGGTTACTATTATTATTCCTATTTTATAGAGGAGGAAGCTGTGGTGTGGAGAGGGCTTGGAATTTGTTCAAGGTCACCCAGCTCAAATCAATGGCAGAGCCCAGGTTGATACTCAGGGCCCCACCCATAGCCACTATGGGGCACTGCCTCTACTTCTGTCTCTGGCTTATGTGGACCGCGTATTGACCGTTAGTTATAACCAGGAGCCTGCTCTGGCCTCTGAGCTCTTATACTAGTAGGATGTGGTGGAAATAGTGGTGCTTTGATACTCAAGGGACTAGGGTTCCCAACCTGGCTCTACCCCAGGCTGAGTGATCCAGGTCTATCTATGGGTTGCCTCTCTGAGCCTCAGTTTCCCTACATTTAATAAGATAGGGTTGGACTCCATTGAGCTTTTCTTTATGGTTAACATGAGAACCTCTGGGATGAAGGGTTTATTGCAGCAAAGAGGTTGGGGATCAACCAGATGGCCAGGGTTCTAGTTCAGTCTTGGGGGCGGGAGGGCTGTCCCTTTTCCATCCAACCATCCAAAGCCCTCCCCAGATTTAGTCGGCAGTGCGTGGTGGACAAAGACAAGAGGAACCAGTGCCGCTACTGCAGGCTCAAGAAGTGCTTCCGGGCTGGCATGAAGAAGGAAGGTGAGCTTCGGCCCTCCCCCTGCCACCACTGCCCCACCCGCACCACAGCTCCCCACATCATTTACAACTGGGGATACAACTTTATGACTCAGGAACAGGCCCCAGGGTGACTAACTAATGGCTGAGAGAAGGAAGGGCCTAGAAATCTGACCATAGGGAGGGGCTGGGCTTGGTCTTGAGAACGATTCAAAAAGATAAGCTCCCACTGTGTCTATGCAGGTTCCCAGCCACCACCACCCCTGCCTGCCTTCTCCACCACAAGGCAGCCAAGTCTGGTGTTTTTTCTTTACTATTTCAAACATTAAGAAAGGTCTAGACTAGAGAATGATATTGCAAATGTCCATGTACTACCCAGACTCAGCAAATATGAGGGGGGTGGGGAGTTCTGCTCCTGAACTTCCTGTCCCAGGGACAAGTGCCCAGTTCCTTAGTTGTCATGCTTGAGTATCAGGTGAGTCCAAGTTTTCCCATCCTAGGGAATGGGAGCAGGACACTGGACTTGTCCTGGGGAGTGGAGAAGGGGAAGACGCAGTGCATTGATTGAGGTCTCTCCAGGCCTCCTGATACCAGCAGACACCAATCATTGGGCTGGGTTTTTCCATGATGGATAATTCCTTTTGTTCTTATGACAACTGTGTGTGGTGGCACTATTATTATAGATGAAGGAACGGAGGCCAGAATGGCTCAGCAACTTGCCAGAGGCCCCAGAGCTGGTCAATGCAGAATGTGGGGTTTGAATCCAGAGCTTTGAATGCAAGTTCAGTGCTGTTTGGACGACACCTCCATGTTGCTTGCTTTATGCCCTCCATACCTCAGGAACACTCAACTCAAGCTCAGGAAGCGAAAATTGTTTAACTGCTTCTAAAAATAACTTTCCATTTTCAAATCTCTTCCTCTTTTTCTCCTCTCAACTCACACTTCCCAGCTCTAGGACTAGCCCCCAGGCCTTCACTTCTAGCTCACAGCTAGACCTCTGGCCTAGTCCTGCACACCTCCTACCCCCATCCCACCCCACAGCGGGAACCTGGGACCCAGCCTGCTGAGACTAATGAGGAGAGGAGCTCCGCTGTGGTCACCTCCCCTCCCCATCTTTGCCTCTGAGACCTTGTTTTCTCTGCTCCCTCCCTAGGAATTGTCTTCTGTGACTCATCCTAATAGGGCCTTGGCGTGAGCTCATGAGTCCTGTGGCAAACCTGGGCCTGCTCACCCTGATGAAGGAGTAGCCCCCTCCTGCTCTCAACATCATTCTAGCATCCAGACCTCAGGGGTTCTCAAAGTGGGGAAGGAGCTTTTGCAGAGGGCGGATGCCCCCCACCTCTCCCTGCCTGGTGTTCGGTGGTGTGGAGCCTCTCTCACCCACTCTCACCTCCAAGCTGGGAGCCACTCTGTGGAATGAGAAATGCTGCAGATGGGGGTGTGATATACAGAGGCAGGCAAAAGTAGGTTAATAGTAGTAGTAGTAGTAGTAATAATAATAATAATAATACAATCATAGATAACAATACAAAAATAAACTGTTTTGCGTACTTACAACTGTAAACCTACTTTTGCCCACCCCTGTATGTATGAACAGCTGGTGACAAGAGGAAGATTGAGAACTATAGTCTCAGGACCTAAGAGTCTATGGTTCTAATAGTCAGTGGTTCTATTACCCCACAGTCAAGATTTTAGGTTCAAGAGAATGAATCTCTCGTGTTAAAATCACAGGCCTTGTGACAGGCAGGTGGGAGAAGGTTAGCAGCCTTCCTGGGCTGTATGTGGCCTGGTCCTGCTTTGATCTGCCATTGTATGTGTCTCTTGTTAAGGATTCAGTCATTTTCCCATGTGTCACTTCAGGGAAGTTTCTGCCCCTTCTGGACTCTGTAAGATGAGGGGGTTGGTAGTGGTCCCTCCCAGCTTTGTGAGCCTCACTCACTGGGACTTGTGTGTTTATTTCCCGGTCTTCCCCCTCAGCTGCCAAGGAGGCACGGGCCCACATCCTGGCTCCTAGAAGGGGAGTGGGAGCACCAGGCAATTCTGCCCTTGCTTAGCCTTGAAAAGTGCTTCTTGGCTCAGGGAAGGTGGCATCATGTCAGGAGGATAGGAGAACTGGCTGATGGCAAGTCAGTGTAGGCGAGTAAATGTTGGTACTTGTTTACACACCTGGGTTAAGATTGTGACATGTGCTCGTGTCCCTTGGTTGCTTTGAGAATAGGCCAGGGTAGCAAAGCGTTCAGTCGCCACTGTGGTCAAGCTCTGGGAAGTAAGGATATTACTAGTTCTGTCTAAGTTTTATAGCCTGGTAAAAACTTCCCAAAGCCAAGAGAAATTCTTGGAAGCCACGGGGATCAGAAGAGCTGGGACAAGTTTTCATTTTTCTTTCCTGATGGTCTTAGCAGAATTCAGTCATTTAAACCCAAAAGTAGCCCTGAAGGGTGAATTGTATGGTGATGGATAGTCACTAGACTTTTGAGGAAGCTCACTTTGCAGAGTATACAGATGTCAAAGTATAATGTTGTGTACTTGACATATATTTTTTAAAATGGGCTGCAAACAAAATTTATAGATAAGACAGGTATATATGAGGCTATCAAATCTACTTCTTCATACACTTTACAGATGGGGAAATTGAGGCAAGAGAAGTGACATGATTGACTCAAGGGTGGAGTCAGGACTAGAACTCAGGCTCCCAGAGCTGGGCAGGTACCAAGCTCCCAGGATTGAAACTGGGAGGGACCAGCGTGGGAATCATCTTGGCCCTAGATCCCTGAAAGTTCCTCTTGACCCCAGGGAAGGGCTCTAAATCTCAGAGACCTGTAAGTCTTGGCCAGAGCTTATTCCATGGTGGCCAAAAGTGAGTTCCCTGAGTGGCAAGTTTTTCTGGGGAGAAATCTGGGGACCAGGGGTCCTAACAGCAGGTCAGGAATTCTTTCCTATAACCTGACACTTACTTGGTGGTCCTAGGACAAATGCAGGCTCCTGGAATTGGACACCTAGAACCAGGAAGCAGGGCCAGGGGTGCAGGAGGTGTGTGTTGGTGGTGGGCCCTTTCTTGGAACCTCAGCTCAGGCTCTAGTAGCCCCCATCCAGGGGTTCTCTGAGAAGACAAGCTCATCCTCCTCTCTGCCTCTGCCCAGGTTGGTTAATATTCAATAGGAGTTACATTAGGTCCCCGACCCTGCTAATACTGAGCAAACATTTGGAAAACATCATTCCGTGACTGAGCTCGCGCCGGGCACTGATAAGGCCGGCCTAACCTTGAGGAGCCCAATCCGCAGCTGCTGACAGCAGCCCTTTTATTCAGCCTGCCTCCTCCTGGCGCCCTGGTGGGTGCGGGCAGCCTCTGTGGGAGGGTGTGGGCAGGGCAGGTGGGGCAGGACTAAGGCTGGGGAGTGGTTCTGGGAGCTGGCCCCATGCAGGGTGGTGGGTCTCCAGAGAGATTTTCTTATCTTGGGACTTGTATTTTATCCCCCTGACTCCTGGCTTCATTCCAGCGGTTCTCAACCTGTGGGTTGCGACCCCTGAAAATACATCCTGCATATCAGATATTTACATTACGATTCATAACAGTAGCAACATCACAGTTATGAAGTAGCAACGAAAATGATTTTATGGTTGGGGGTCACCACAACATGAGGAACTGTATTAAAGGGTTGCGGCATTAGGAAGGTTGAGAATCACTGACTGTCTGCCTTTCATTCTCTGATTTCAACAATGTGTGAAATCCAGAGATGACAGCTGAATAGGTGGGATGTCAATGTTCCACTGAGACACGGGGCCTAGGGCAGTGCGGGTGGGGCAGTGAATGAGTTTCCTAGGATGGCTGTTCCCATCTGGAGCCACCAGGCCTAGGAAACCAGAGAAGGCTTGAAGATGTAGTGATGGCAAACCTTTTGAGTTCGGTGTGTCAGTTTTGAAAAACCCGAACTTAACTCTGGTGCCGTGTCACATATAGAAATTTTTTGATATTTGCAACCATAGTAAAACAAAGACTTATATTTTTAATATTTATTTTATATATTTAAATGCCATTTAACAAAGAAAAATAAACCAAAAAAATGAGTTCGCGTGTCACCTCTGACACGCGTGCCATAGGTTCGCCATCAACTGGCCTAGGGTACTCCCAAGAAACAGAGCTTTTTATCATTCACTCAACAAATATTAACTGAGTACCTACTATGTGCCAGGCTCTGTTCTAGTCGCTGGGGCCATAGAAGTGAACAAGAGGGAGTCCTTTCTGGAACTTTTCTTCTCAGAGAGAGACAGAGAGTAAAGAAATGAACATATGATTCTACAATAAGTGCCAAGAGGAAGAAGGAAGCAGGATGCAGGGCAGAGTGTGAGGGGGAATGCCGCTCAGACAAGTGGTGAGAGAGGGTACCTCTGAGAAGGTGACATTTGTACGGGGACAGGGGTGACATGAAGATGCCGCCAAGCTATAGGGGAGAGAATTGCAGGCAGTGGGAACAGCAGCACCAGAGTGTGTCAGAGGAGCAGTGAGGCAAGTCTGGGGGACAGAGTAGTGAAGAGGAGCAGAGAGAAAGGGCCACGGGGAAGAGTTGTGCCTTCACGCCGAGGGAGATGGGAGGCACTGGTCCAAAATGAGCCGCGGAGGGTATGACCTGAGAGGTGCATGGGCTGTAGGGCAAAGCTGGAAGCAAAGGGACCCGTGAGGAGGCCCCGGACTACACCAGGGCCGAGAAGTCAGGGCCCAGACAGAGTGGGAGCCAGGATGGATTCCGTAAGGACCACTCACACATGTGGGGCATGAGTAGAGCTAGAATGTGAGAGAAAGACTCCCAGGTTGGAAGTGGGGGAATAAACTGCCTGTTTCTGAGATGGGAGACAATTTGGGAAGCAAAAGCTGATAGATGGGGCAACTGAGGCCCAGAGGAAGGAAGTGACTTCTACTGGCACACAGAGAGCGAGTGGCAATTCCGAACAGGAACTGGGTCTCCTCCCACTGCGTCCTCCCTCCTTCCAGCTTCAGCCCAGCCTCATTGCACAGGAAGGCTTCTCAGAGTCCAAGGGGCAGGGCCAAGGCAGCAGGTCCATCTTATATCTCTGGCCAGGACTGGCCCAGAAGGGGACACGCAGTGGGGTGCGGGGCCCTGGTGGACACAGGCCCCACATCTCTGAGTTCCTGGGAGAGAGCCCAGCAGTGGGCAGGGGGAGGACAGCGTACCTTTGCTGTCTCTGAGAAGGGTAGCCTGGATCCCTTGCAGCTCCTGCTGATGGATGAGACCTCCAGGGCAGGCGGGGCCTCCCGATCCCCTTGTCCAGGCCTTCTGCCTCAGTGTTCAGGAATCCCTGGGCCATCTCCTGTCACCCAGAGGAATTCATTTTGCTTGTTTTACACACTTTCATCTGGAAAGAAAGGGATCCTTTTGCAAAACAGAGCTTGAAAATCTGTTATCTAGACAGATCCCCTCTTCAGTGCTCAAGACTCACCTTAAGCCCTCTGCCAAGTCATCATTGTCTTGCATGCCTCCAGGGATGGGTGGGTCACTCCTGCAGTCCCCGCACTGTGTTGAGGCAGCTTTGGCATTTAGAAAGTTCTAACAAGCTGGGTTAGAATCTGTCTCCCTTCCTTCCCACAAGTTGATCTGGGCTCTGTCCCCTGGACGCACCCCTCCTACACCCACCTCCAACTGTGCCTCCTTCCCTGCAGGATAGCCCTGCAGAAACTCTGTCAGGGCTAAACTCTCTCCCCTTGCACCTCACCCGTTCCTCATCAGTCATGCCACAGCCCTCCCCTCCTCCGTATCCCTGCCCTCCCTCCTCACTTCTCTCTGCTGTCCTCACAGCCGTCCAAAATGAGCGGGACCGGATCAGCACTCGCAGGTCAAGCTATGAGGACAGCAGTCTGCCCTCCATCAATGCGCTCCTGCAGGCGGAGGTCCTGTCCCAGCAGGTACTGGGGTGACCGCTCCACCCACCTGGGACCCCACACACTGAAGGGGAGTCTCACCTCCACCCCACCCTCCCCAGCCAAGCCCTGGAGCAGCAGCTAGAAGGACCCTCAGATGTCACGGAAGGGAAGCTGAGTCCAGTGTCACACAGCCATTTAGTAGCAAAGACAAAACTGGGACGCAGGCCTGGCATCGGGGGCACTTTCTAGTTCATCCCACTGCCCACATGGTGCAGGCCAAGCAGCTCTCTGCCTTCACTGAGGGCCTGCGATCAGCTTAGCCCCGGGACAACAGAGCAGCGAACAAGTGGACAGAGTAGCAAACTGGGACTCAGTCAGCCTCTGCTGTTGACCTTGGGCCAATCACAGCACCTCTCTGGGCTGTGGTTTCTTCCTCTAGCAGATGAGGATGAGGGTTTTTGCCCTGCTTCTCCCCTAGGGCTGAGGGGTTCCTTGGGATTCTGAGGAGCTGGAGGAAGAGGAGGCAGGGGCAGGCTGCAGGACTTCTTCAGCATCCTTCCTTCTGTCCATTTTCCCTTAAACTTCCTCCGAGCCAAGGCGGCACCCACAGTCCATCTCCCCTTTTCCAGACAGGGACACTACCTGAGGAGGGGCCTCTGCAGGGTTCAGGGCGTGTGGGGCAGCCCAGCCATCCCCAGCATTTTCCTTCATCTCCCCCCCAGATCACCTCCCCTGTCTCTGGGATCAACGGAGACATCCGGGCAAAGAAGATAGCCAGCATTGCCGATGTGTGCGAGTCCATGAAGGAGCAGCTGCTGGTGCTCGTTGAGTGGGCCAAGTACATCCCAGCTTTCTGCGAACTTCCCCTGGACGACCAGGTGCGGGCAGACGTGGACTGTGAGCAGTGGGGGTGCTGGGCAGGAGGGACCTGCTGGCCCACCTGGGATATAGCCTTGGACTGGTCTGAATTTATTTAACAAAACACACATAGTGCTCATGTGTCCTGCAGTTGTTTAAATCACTTTGCAAATGTTAACTCATTTAATCCTTCCAACAACCCTATGAGGTAGTGCTATTATTAGTTCCATCTTACAGGTGAGGAAACTGGGGCACAGAGAGGTTAAGTAACTTGCTCATGGTCACACAGCTTGTATCCAGCAGAGCTGGGATTAGAACCAGGCAGGCAAGCTCCGAAGTCCAGGCTTCTATCCACTGTACCTCTGCAGCAGGGCCCTCTCCCGAGGAGATATTGACAGGGACCCAAGGCCAAGGATCAGGAGATTTGGGCTTGCGCCCTGGTTTTAAGACTAGTTCTCTGTGTGATCTAAAACGGATTACTTCCTGTCTCTGAGTCTCAGTTTTCTTATGTACAAAGTGGGAATTGTAATACCTGCCTCAGAAAGTTGTTGGAAGGATTGAGGACATTACCATTTGAAAAGTATAAATCATGTAATGAGCACCTACACAGTGCCAGGGCCACAGCTGGCCTCCCTAACTGTCAGCTTCTTCCTGTATCCCACCAACATGGTATAGCTCAGCATTTTATTTCCCAAAGTACATTCTTTGACATACCAAAAATGTCCTAGGGGGAACAGGGGACTGTGTGTGTGTGTGTGTGTGTGTGTGTGTGTGTGTGTGTGTGTGGTGGGGATGGATCTGAGGACAGATGAGTTTCTGAGATACCACAAGTGACAGCTCCTGCACCCCTTGGGCCTGTGCAGATATTTTTCCTGTCTGGGAAAGGAGAGCCGGGCTGAGTCACCTTCTCAGCTCTGAGGGAAGCTTGGGGTCGCCAATGGACAGGGCCTAGATGTCCATTGGTGCATTTACTTCTCCGTTTTGCACATTTGCATGAAAGACTGGCAACGCATGCCAGTCTGTTCAAGTTTCTGAGAAGCCCTGCAGGCAAGGCACCTATTGAACTTTGTGGACAGACCCAGGGCTCCTGGAACTCCTCTTACACCCACCCTCTCCTGGAACACCCATTAGTGTCCCGCGATGGGACACGCTGTGCAAACACGGGTTTGGCTGGTCCTGGGCCTCACACTGGGGGCCGGATCAGATGCCCTCTCACACAGATTCCTCCCGCTTTGGGAGGGATGACAGGGCAGGGATCTTGGCAGAGCCCCTGCCTTCTCCCCTGCTCCTCGTGTTCTGGCCCTGGTCCCCTCTGCTGGAGAATCTACATTAATGTTTAATCCCTCCTGTTCCTTCCCAGGGGCTCAGCAGGGCAACGAGATACCCCCAAGCTGAACAATTGTTAACCTCGATTTCCCACCCAAACCTCCCTGGCTAGGGCTCAGAGCATTCTCAGAGAGCAGTGATGGGTGGCCAATAACACGGGACAATCATTAACACCCCCTGCCTGCTCACCCCCAGAACAGCTGCCATGTCAGGGGGCTGGACCCGGGTCATGAGGGTTCCCAGCTCCCCATTCACGGTGTACAGGAGCCCATTTGCTCTAGATGGGGTGGGGGGGGGAAAGGAGACAAACCTGGGAGATGGGGGTCATTGTCTTCCAAAGGGCACCTCAACTCGGTAGACATCGCCTCAGGAACCACTTTCCAGGTTGTTTGCTTCTTGTCTTGTCTAGAATATCAATCCATTGAAACCTGGGCGGCTAGGGTAGCATTGGATAAGGGGACTGAGGCCTAGAGAGGGAAGGTGACTTGTCCCAGGTCACAGAGCAAGGCAGTCACAGAGCTGGGACTTGATGCCAGGTCTTCTCCCTGTCAGTCAGAGCCACTGGTAAGGGACAAGGGCCTGCACAGTGCCCGGTGTGCCATGTAGGATGTGCTCAATAGTAAGCATCCTTGTCCTGGTCATGGCAAGTGTACTCTCACCGCCTGTTTGCCATTTCTCCTATTTTCCTGGCATCCTCACAAGGTTTAACCATAGGGGAACAGACTAGGTAAGGACAGGTGGCTGCCCAGGAGGGGCTGCATCTGGAGAGGAAGTTAACTAGTTTGCTCATTCGTTCATTCACCCATTTCTTCCTTTCTTCATTCAGACAAATATTTATTGAATGTTTACTATGTGCCTTAGAACAATTCCACCTCCTTAGATGGGTCTTTTCTGACCTCCCATCTACTAGTTATTCTTGCCCTATGCTCTTATCTCATACCCTCACCTTCCTACTTCTCTCCCTCCCTCTCTTTCTTCCTTCCTTGCTCTCCTCTTCTTTCTCTCTCCTTCTCACTTTCTCTCTTTCCCTTCCTAGCACCCCCCTTTCCTTCCCTTCCCTTCCCTTCCCTTCCCTTCCCTTCCCTTCCCTTCCCTTCCCTTCCCTTCCCTTCCCTTTCCTTTCCTTCCCTTGCCTTCCCTTCCCTTCCCTTCCCTTCCCTTCCCTTCCCTTCCCTTTCCTTTCCTTTCCTTTCCTTTCCCCATTGTGTCCCCATTGCCTAAAACACGTTTGTCACTTAGTAGGCATGTAACATGTGATGACTGAAAGAATGAACAATCAAGTGAATTCATGAACAAAAGCATTTTCCTTAATAATTTAGCCTGCTAAAACCCTCTGGACGCCCTAACCCAACCTTGCAGATAAGACCCGTGAGGCTACCAGCCTGATACTATTTTTCCGCCCATCTTTGGTTCTCATGCTAGCTCTAAAGCAGATGGTTCTGAAAGGGCAGGCAGTGCTCTCCGGTGAGTTAGACTTGTCTTCTCTGCAGGAAAGGTGTCTGTCAAGCTCATCCACTTCCAAGAACCAGTGTTCATGCCTTTGCCTTAGGTGGGAACCAACATCCACGTCCAAATTCTTGTAACTCACTCTCAGAACCCTAGAATCCTACAATGGCAAGTGGGCAGCTGCCTGGAAATCGGAGCAGTGATTTCCCAAACACAACTGCACATCAGAATCCACTTGGGAGCTTGTTTAACACAGATCCTTGGGCCCATCCCCATACATACAGAATCAGAATCTCTGGAAGCAGGGCCTAAGAATCTGAATTCTTATAAACCACTCTTCATAATCTTTCAGAGCTGGCCCATGAGTAGGAATTGGGGACCCACAGTTTTAGGACTTTCGGGGTGATAGACCCTCTTTAGAGTCTGATGAAAGCCTTTGCACCTCTAATGAAAAAAATATACCCAGATTATTGTCACAGTTTCACCAGGCACATAAACCAGGCCCAGGGGGGAGCAGCAACTTGCCCAAGGACACAGAAATTCAAGGTCAAAGTCAGTGTTTGGTCGCCCTGCTCCTAGTGCGTGTTCTTTCCCCTCCTGCATTCCTGCTGAATCTTCTCCAGGTCCCCAGTTGATCAGTTATGGGAAGAGGGCAGCTGTTTTCTGATGCCTGTTTTATAATTCAGGCAGGTAAAGGCGAGGGAAGCATGAAGCTGACTTGCCCAGTGTCGGTGAGTTGGCGAGAAGCAGCCCTCACAGGTGTGCAGGCACCATATGCTGTCCCTTCTCTCTTCCAGGTGGCCCTGCTCAGAGCCCATGCCGGCGAGCACCTGCTTCTCGGAGCCACCAAGCGCTCTATGGTGTTCAAGGACGTTCTATTACTAGGTGAGGAAGGGGCCTGCTCAGCCAGGGCTCTGTGGAGGGCATGTCCAGTGTGGAACCCACCTGGGCATAGGAGATGTCCATGGCAGCATGCTGGGGCAAGGGAGACCGATCAGAAATAGCCCTGTCCCCTTGGATGCAAGGAAATATGGACCCAAGAAATTAAAGTTCAAACACACTCAAAGCCAGATCCCAGGCCCAGTTTGATGATTTCAAGCAACTCATCCCCTTAATCGGGGCCTTAACTTTCTCATCTGTAAAATGGGCACTCCTCCCATGAGCACCAACTGCATTGCAACTGCAAAGGACAGGGCCTGTTCAAAGCTAGGGGTAAGGGTACACCCAAGGTAGCTTCCCCATCCCCTCTCCTTTCCAACTCATCCAGGTAATGACTACATCATCCCCCGGCATTGCCCGGAGCTGGCAGAGATGAGCCGGGTGTCCATGCGCATCCTGGATGAGCTGGTGCTGCCTTTCCAGGAGCTGCAGATCGATGACAATGAGTATGCTTGCCTCAAAGCCATCATCTTCTTTGATCCAGGTACAGTCCGCACCTCCCACCCACCCCTGATGCTCCAGAACCCTCTGTCAGACTTCTCCTACTGGGTTACATACCCCAAGTTCACAACCTCATCTTTTTAGTACAACAACCTGGAGAGGGTGTTTTTCTTAGCTCCATTTCATAGATAAGGAAAAATCAAAGTTCAAAGGGATGATATGACTTGACAGGGCACACTGAGTCCAGAGGCTTGAGTTTTCTCTTTCCTTTCCCTTCCTCCCTCCTTTGTTCTCTTTCATCTCCTGTCTTCCTTCTTTTCTTTCCTTTTATCTTCTTTTCCTCAAAAGGGGATGGGAAGCTACATTGGGTGTACCCTTACTCCCAGCAAAATAATATGTGCACGTAGTTAAAATGCGAATATTCCTCTCTACTCCACTTTTCCTGCTAAAGCCTACTCCTCAGAACCATTTCTGACTCGTTATCATTTCTTCCGGCCATTACCTCGAGCTCAAAATAAAATGCTAAGCCTGCTCCCTCTTGCTTTATCTTTTTTGGGTCGTATTTTTCCTCCTAGGCTAGCGGAGGGTTTCACTTCTTTTATCACCATTCCTATTCTCCTCCATCCTCTTAATATATTTTTCTGGCTATTTTAGTGTCTCTATTGATCACCTTTATAATGTTTGTTATGTGCTTATGCCTTTATTTCTTGTTCTATCAACTGTGGAGAGTATTTTCTAACCCTTCATGTAGCATGTAGTCCCCCTTATCCATAATTTTGTTTTCTGTGGTTTCAGTTACCTGTGGTCAAATTCCAGGAATAAACAATTCATAAGTTTACAATTACACGGTGTTCTGAGTAGTGTGATGAAATCTTACACCCTCCTGCTCCGTCCCACCTGGGATGTGAATCATCCCCTTTTCCAGCGTATTCACTCTGCATATGCTATCTGTCTATTAGTCACTTGGTAACCAACACGGTTATCAGATCAACTGTCCCAGTATTGCAGTCCTTGTGGTCAAGTCATCCTGTTTTACTAAATAATGCCCCTAAAGTGCAAGAGTAGTGATGCTGGCAATTTGGACATTCCAAAGAGAAGCCGTAGAAGCACTTTCTTTAAGTGAAAAGATGAGTACAGTTTAATAAGATATCGAGATAGAAAGAGAGCACATTCACATAACTTTTATTACAATGTATTGTAATAAGTGTTCAATTTTAGTATTTTATTAGTTATTGGTATTCATCTCTTACTGTGCCTAATTTATCAATTAAACTTCATGATTGGTATGTATGTGTAGGAAAAAATATAGTCTCTAACATGGTATATAAAGGGTTCAGTTCTGTTTGTGGTTTTAGGCATCCACTGGGGACCTTGGACTGTATCTCCTGCAGATAAGTGGGGACTACTGTACTGCATCCCCACCCTTTCCTTCAGCTCTGACTCTCCTCTCCCCATTCCATTTACTGACTTTCCACCTGTATTTGTAGTTTGTAGTTACATCTGTGCAAAGCCTGATTTTACTTTACAATGTCAAGATTCCTGGGCCCCCAAAGGTTTGCTTGCTTCCTTTCCTCCTTACATGTTAGAGAACACCTACTGTGTGCCAGGCACTGTCTTAGGCCCCAACTGCATGAAGATCACTTCTAGTAATAGTAGTAATGAAGAGGGAGATCATCACCATTTGTGGAATGCTCTTTAAGACACTCTTCTAAACACTCTGTGTGGATCATCCCATTTACTACTTGCAACATGGTACCTGTGAGATGGGAATTACTATCTCCATTTTACAGATTAGAAAACTGAGGCACAGGGAAATCAATTAATTTGCCCAAGGTCACACAACCAGGAAATGGCAGAGCTCGGATTTGAACTTCAGACTATTCAGATCTCAAGCCCATGTTCTTACCTACCACATGCTATTTCCCATTTTCTAAAGGGTAAGAGTGCTACCTCTAGTTTCCTTGAGAGTCTGGCCCAGGCTATATCCCCTGCAGCACTCAGCACAGGGATAGACAGAGTAAATGGCTCAGTAAAGTGTGCAGGATTACTGACGCTGAGTCAGGGTCAGTAACCTGGCTTGGAGGGGCAGGTGACCTATAATAGGGCCTGGCATGTAGGTGGTGTTCAATAGAGTTTGTTGACTGAGTAAAAGAATGCACAAACATGGTTAGTGGAGAGCACCCTGGACTGGATGTGTGGGTGAAATTCTCTTTCTGCCACTTACATTAGGAAATAAGTGCATTACCTCCATGAAGTCTGAGATTATCCATTGGACGACTCCTGAGTCCCCTTCTTAAGATTGAGGATCTAGAATTTATCCATTGATTTTTTTTTCATTCATTTATCCTTCTATCCACCTACCTATCCTTTCATCTATTCAACAAATACTGACTGTGCATGGTACTAGGTGGCCGGTTTAAAATGACAAATGATATATATGCCTTCCTGCCCAGAGCTCACATCTAGTGGAAGAGACAATCGCCTCCTGTGCAGTCAGTAGTAATGGAAGAGCCACAGAAATTTGGGAACAGGATGGACACATAATGCGGACTTGGGGAGGGTAGAATGGAGAAGGCTTCTTGGTGGAGGTGAAACCTAAGATGACACAGGCAAGGGAGCAGAGAAGTGGAGATACAGCTCTAAGGCAGCAGAAGCAGTGTGTGCTAAGATCTGGACAGTGGGAACTCAACTGGGAGTCAGGAGCCCCAAGTGCACATCCTGGATTGCCAACACTGGATGTGTGACCTGGGCCAAGTCCTTTCCCTGCTCTGTGCCTCAGTTTCTCCATGTGTAATGAGGAAGTTGCTAAGTGCCCTCTTGGGTATGTTCCCGAAGTCCCATCCTCCATCCCTCACTCCTCTCTCCCAGTTCTGCATCTTAGGAAATGTGACAGAAACACTTTTCTGCCTGAGTCCAGGAAGCTACAATTTTCATTAGTGCGCTCTGCTTCTTGCGGACCCTGAATCCTCATCCCAGCACTGCTGAGGATTCCCTGTGTGACCTTGAGCCCCCCTATGAGGGCCCCATGAGTCAGGGGAAGTCTGGGTCCTGACTCCCCAGATGCTCTAACTGGGCCCCACTGCCCTCCCTTGCCCACCCCCTCCTGTTGCAGATGCTAAAGGTTTGAGTGACCCGGGTAAGATCAAGAGGCTGCGGTCCCAGGTGCAGGTGAGCCTGGAGGACTACATCAACGACCGCCAGTATGACTCACGTGGCCGCTTCGGCGAGCTGCTGCTGCTGCTGCCCACCCTGCAGAGCATCACCTGGCAGATGATTGAGCAGATCCAGTTCATCAAGCTCTTCGGCATGGCCAAGATCGACAACCTGCTGCAGGAGATGCTGCTGGGAGGTCCGTGCCCAGCCCCGGAGGGGCAGAGAGGTGGGCGGGGGCAGGGGTCTCTCCAAGAGAAGGGCCTCTTTTGACAGATTGGCCAAGGGAGACTTCTCTAAAGTGGTGACTTTTGTGTTTAGACCAGAGGGGTGAAAGGAAATAGAGTATTCAAAAGTCAAGAGAAAAACATTCTAGACCAGTGGTTCTCAACCTTCCTAATGCCGCGACCCTTTAATACAGTTCCTCATGTTGTGGTGACCCCCAACCATAAAATTATTTTCGTTGCTACTTCATAACTGTAATTTTGCTACTGTTATGAATCATAATGTAAATATCTGATATGCAGGATGTATTTTCATTGTTACAAATTGAACATAATTAAAGCATAGTGATTAATCACAGAAACAATATGTAATTATATATGTGTTTTCCGATGGTCTTAGGCGACCCCTGTGAAAGGGTCGTTCGACCCCCAAGGGGGTCGCGACCCACAGGTTGAGAACCGATGTTCTAGACAGACGTAATTAATACAGAAGTCCTAAAGCAGGAGAGGGTAGTGTGTTCGAGGAGGAGGATAGGTGGTGAGCTGGGGGAGTTGTATGAGATGAAGATGGCGAGCTGGCAGAAACTAAATGATAAGTATATGGTTTTATAGGCCATGGTCAGAAATTTTTATTTTATTCTCATGCAACTATTATAAGAAGATTGAACATCAGACTAGTGTTTTAAACCAACTACTCTGATTGTTGAGTAGAAAGTGGATTTAGGGAGGGGAAGGTGCAAAACGGAGACAGGAGACCCCTGAGAATGTTATTGTCTCCAATCAGGGAAAAGACAGTAGAGGCTGGGACTAAAGCATGACTGGAAATTTAGCAGCAGAGAAAAACGTGATCGTCTATTTGGAGGAAGAACCTGCAGGACTTGCTGATTGGTCAGATGTGGGGAGAGAGGGAGGAGGAGAGTCCAGGGTAAAACCTCTGTTTTTGCTTTGAGTAACAGGAATGCTGGTGGAGCAATTTGCTAATATGGGAAGATTGAGAGAGAACAGTTTGAGGCTGGGCATGGTGGTGATGGTGAGGGATCCATTTTGAACTTGAGTTAAGCTTGAGATGACTGTTAGACATCCAAGTTGAATTATCATGGAGGCAGTTGGATATCTGAGTCTGTTGCTAAAATACAATCCCAAAGCTCAGGATGAAAGGCAACTCTATGGTATTCCAGCAATTAGATGCCATGGGAGGAGGTTGGAGGAAGAGGAGACAGGGGGTTAAGAGCAAAACCAGGGAAGTTCCAGAATCCAAGAGAAGAGCATGTTTTAAGGAGGACAGGGCATTTAATGGTGTTAAGTTCACAGGAGAGGGATGGAGGTGTCCATTGGATTGGCACAATGGAGGCTCTTGGCGATTGTGCAAAGAGCAGTATAGTGTCAGAGGACCGTGGGAAAGGAAACCAGACTGGGAAATGTGACAGAGTGAGTGGGAAAATGAAGTGGAAGTAACAAGAGTAGACAACTCTTTGAAAATGTTTTACTCTGAAGGGAAGCTATGAGGGAGTTGGCGATGAATGCAAGGGAGGGAGGGATTATAATGCTGGGCTATGGAATCTTGGCTGGACTAGAATAGAAATAAAGATGGGGTGATAGTGAAAAGTGGGGATCAGTGAGTTGCAGCCTCAATAGGGTTGAAGAGTTTTTGCAGTGATGGTACTAGATGAAGTGAGCTGGAAGGATAGGAGGCAGGATCTAAGCAAGGAAGCTCGGACTCATTGTAATGCTCACAGACAGGAGAAGTGGTTATTCCTAAAGATGGGTTACAGATCAATTAATTACTATGGGCATTGCAAGAAAGGAGAAGTTTACTTCCTACTGGAGTGGAGAGAACCAGGAGAGGCTTCCCTTAGGAGGAAATATCTGAACTGGAATTTGGACGTGTGGACATGGGGGGGAGGGGGAAGGCATCTCTAGTGGAGCCAGTTCATGAGCAAAAGCAGAGAGATTGGAAATTACAGGGAAGTACAAAGAAACACATAGATGCTCTACTAAATAGGTCAGCTTGGCTGAAAGGTGAGTTGGGACCAAATTGTTGAAGGACTTCCGTGCCAAAGAATTTCAAAAGCCATTGATTAAATTCATTATATTAATATGCAATCAATACTCATGATAATATTTAAATTATCTCAATGCTTCCTTACATGCTTCTGTTTCTTTTAAATCACGTTTGTTCTCTTGGTTAGCTGGGTCCTCTTAATACCCTCATAAAGTCCATGGATGGGAATGGTAAACCCCAGTTTACTAGCCCAGGAATAGGAACCCAATAGGCATCATCCATAATGGATGGGCAGGTTGATTGGCCACACCTGAGGGAGATGGTGTCTCAAGGCCCAGGGTCCTTATCCCAAACTCTTCATCTTCACTGAGTCTTCCCTCTACCTGCAGGATCCTCCAGTGATGCAACCCATGCCCATCATCCCCTGCACCCTCACTTGATGCAGGAACACATGGGCACCAACGTCATTGTTGCCAACACGATGCCTACTCACCTCAGCAACGGACAGATGTGTGAGTGGCCCCGACCCAGGGGGCAGGCAGGTGGGCAACTTGGGTTCTATTCAGGAAGGGGTGAGGTTGGGGCCTAAGAGGGAGCCAGGGTAGGGATGAGGGATAAGATTGTGTATTTGTTAAGGCTGCTATTCAGCAAGGTGATTGATAACCTCTACTGAATGAAGCTGTCCTTGGGATGGGGTAATCCACTAGATGAGCTTGCCCGTTGGGTGAGGATATCCATTAGGGTGAAAATTCCATTAGGTGCATTTGGTAAAATTGTTCATTAAATAAGGTTTCTCAATTGGTTAAGGCTATCCATTAGACAACTGAGTGAGATTATTTATTAGGTTGCGATGTCTGTTGAACTAGACTCTCCTCTGAGGTAAAATCTCTCAAGAGTGAGTTTGTCATTGGCAAAGTTCTTCAAAGAGTGAGATTTTCATTGGGATGAGGCAGTCCACTAAAATGAGATTTCATTTAATTGAGAGTGTTCTTTGGGAAAGTTGTCCATTGACTAAAATTAGCCAAGTGGGTCATGATTTTTATGTTTTTGTTGATTTCAGAGAGAGGAAGGGAGAGGGAGAGATAGAAACATCAATGATGAGAGAGAATTATGCCCCTTACTGGGGACTGAGCCCGCAACCCGGGTGTGTGCCCTGACAGAGAATCGAACCATGACCTCCAGGTTCATAGGTTGGTACTCAATCATTGAGCCATACCGGCTAGACTCAGAGTTACTTTCTGAACCTGTTATGGGGGTGAGGACAATTACTTTCTGTTACTCATCTACCTATATATCAGAGACTCTTTTTTAAGCCAGTTAGGGTTTCATCAATTGTTGCTCCTTTTCTCCAAGAATGGGTATTCCTGTCACATGTCCCAGTGTCCTTGGGGAAAGTCAGACTTGGGCCCTGCTTTGGGAGAAGCAGCTCATGTCTCCATACCAAACAGTGGAGGAGATGGAGGTTAGTAGGAACTGGGTGTGACCTGGTCCAGCCATAGCCTTCCAGACCTCATAGAACATGAGACTGGGGTCTGGGATCAGAAGATTTGAGCCAGAAGAGACTTTAGAGATTATCTGGTTTCTTTCTCTCACTTTATAGAAGAGGAAACTGAGCCCCAGAGAGGGGGGAGAACGTTTCTAGGGCTCTGCTTTTACTCCCCAAAGGGCTCGGATTCTGAACAGCCTGTCTGTCTCTCTGTCCCTCCAGCCACCCCTGAGACTCCACAGCCCTCACCACCAGGTGGCTCAGGGTCTGAGCCCTACAAACTCCTGCCAGGAGCCATCACCACAATTGTCAAGCCCCCCTCTGCCATCCCCCAGCTGACTATCACGAAGCAAGAAGTCATCTAGCAAGTCGCCAGGGGTCAGGGGCTCTGCTGGCCCTCCAGTCCCCTCTGAGAGCCCCTGGTAGTCACTTGGTCACAGGGCTGGAAGCTGTGACAGTAGGGCCAGTCCCAAAGCAGTAGTGAAAAGGGCAAAGGGCCCAAGAACTTGGGCTGTGGGCCACGACACATTGCACCCCTCCTCTGCTCTGGACGATGGGGCCTTGACTTGGGGAGATCCCAGCTGGAGAATCCTCTGCTGCCTTGGACAACGTTTCTCTTGCCGAAGCCACTGCCTTCCCTTCATCCATATCTACCCCCAGCTGCTTCACCTGCTGCCTAGAGATGATGTGGGACCTCGCTCAAGCCCAGCTCTCTTCCCCTCAGGCCGGTACTGCTCCCTGAGTGCTGTCATCGTGTCCAGGCCCTTTTTCTCTCTTTGCTCCCCAACTCTGAGGGATGAGTGTCAAGATTCTGTCATTCCAGGAGTGGGCCAGTTGGGGGAGGGGGCAGGGGAAGGTCTGGGTTTGAGACTTGCTCTGGGGAGCATCACTCAGGGTACATTCTGGAGCCATTAAACCCCAGGATGAAACAGCCCGTGCCTCCATCCATGCAGAATATTGGTGACTTTGGGGAATTCTGAAAAATGCCACTTGCCCATGGCAATTAAAGCTGGGACCAGACCTGGGACCAGAGCTGTGCATTGTAGGAGGATGAATAGTTAGACAGGTTATCTGCCCCCCAGCCAGGGCTGACCCTTCTGAATAGACCGGGCAGTGCCCCAGTGCCTCCCAATTCCATCATTAGTGATTGTTTCTTTTGGCAAAAGAGGCATAAAGGGTATTTGGACAGTATGTCCAAGAGAAATCTCTGCCTCTCCAGTGCTATGAGGATTGGCCTTCCCCACTCCAGCAAGCCAAATCCCCAATCCCAGGAGAGTGTTCCCTGTTCTGAGCTCTCCAGCCTTCCTTAGCCACATCTCATTTCAATTCCCCAGAAATCCCAGCCAGGGGGCTCAGGCTGGTGTGGGGTGAGGTAGGGAAGCTAGAGTCATTCTGCTCATCATGGTCATTCCTACTGTTTGCTCTTCCACCCCCCAATGTCATGGGAGGCAAGCTGAGGTAAGAATTTCCCATGGGGTGGAGTGGGGCAACAGTGGCTTTTAATGGTAGCAATTATTTGGGGCAGGGGGCAGTCCTCTGCCCAAGTCAACTCTTTTTGGAGGAGAAATCCATTCCACTTTTAGAATTTTTATTGCAATTATAGGAAACAAAATAAAGACAAGTTTACTTTCCTGATTCTAAACTGAGAACACCACATTGGAATTTTTGTCTACCTGAGTTGTAGTCCTAAAACAAAATCTGATGGACTAAAAAAAATGGTTGGGAGGGCAACCATGGACCCTATAATTCCTCCACCGAGAAAACTCCTTCTCTAGGCAGCTCTCAGAAGCTTCCAGAGTCCCCGTGGCTCTCCTAGAGGGGACAGGGAAGAGAGGAGAGGGTTGTACATGGATGCTCCTAGATTTCTTGTGATGATCAAGCCAATTACTTTTGCCAGATTGCTCTGTGATTTGCCCTGATTGGGATGAAGTGTGAAATTCACATCCAGCAGTTCAGAAAGTGGGTTGAGTTCTGGCAGATCCATCAGCATCTTCCCGGGGGTGTGAATGTCATTAGGTCCTGTGCTGACATCTGAGCCCTGTCACTGCCACCCAATGGGGCAAACAAACAAACAAAAACATTTATTGTGTGTTTTAACAAAAGTGTATAAAGCTAAATAAATGGCATGTATGTTTTCTAAGTCCTTGGGTGGGTGTCTTTTCTTCCTTTCAGGTGTTAGAAATAAGAATGAAAATAGTCTCCTACTGTGCAAAGTGCTCTCAAAGCCATTATTGTTTAATCTTCACATCGAGAGGTAAGCAGGTTAGACACTGTCACCACCACCACCACCACCGTCCACTTTATAGATGGGGAGCGGAGGCTCAGGGGAAGTGATTTTCCTTAAGAGCCAGAAGTGGGAATCTGACTCTGGTCCCTGGATTTTGAGTGCTCAGTATGTGGAGACATGAAAGTCGAAAAGGGAGGGGATGATGGAAAGATCTGAAAGGATGGCAGGAGGGTCCAAGGGTCTGTCATCTACCGTCGGGGTCCAAGATGGAGCCCTGATCTGGGTCCTGGGTCAACCTGCCAGCATTAAGGGACAAGTAGGCATGGGGAAATTTCATAAAAGCAAGTGTTGTTTTGAAAAAGAATAAAAGCAAGGGAGCCCTAGCCAGTTTGGCTTAGTGGATAGAGTGTTGGCCTGCGGACTGGAGGGTGCTGGGTTCGATTCTGGTCAAGGACACATGCCTGGGTTGTAGGCTCAATCCCCGGTAGAGGGTGTGCAGGAGGTAGCCGATCAATGATTCTCTCTCATCATTGATGTTTTTATCTCTCTCTCTCCCTCTCCCATCCTCTTTGAAATCAATAAAAAAATATATGTATTTAAAGGCAAGGGATGCACTTGAGTATTCCAGCCAGGTTCATAGCCACCTTGGTCTTGTCCCCTGATAAACTAGCCACCAAGGACCACAGCCTCACATTCACTCAGAGGTGTGCTGGAGCTGGCTTGTGAGAGCCGATTGTTAACTACTCTTCCCAACTCTCTGTTGGGCAATGTCGCAATGATAGCAGCGGTGGAAGCATTTACACCACAGGAACTGGCAAACACTATAAATCAAGGCTACCCCTGGAGAGCTGGTTGTTAACCAGCACGCCATGGCATTCAGTAATGGGTGAGTGGGAGATTGCTGATGGCGGGACTGTGGGGTGCCTAGGTGTGCTGTCACTCAAGGACGAGGGTGGGGCATAGTGACCCTTTTCATTCTTTCCCAACAGAGGGATTGGCAGTTCCAGTCCGGGAGTCACACCTGGGTGATTCATTGTAACCTTGGTCTGGTCACTCCATCCCTCTGAGCTGCATCTGTGACATGGGAATGATCCCTCCCTGCAGGGGTGTTGTCAGGATTAAATGGAACGAGATCTCAGTAACTATAAGAGCCGTGTGTGTGTGAGGTGCCCACAGTGTCCACCACCAGGGACTCAGTGAGTGTGAATTCTTCAGCCAGTCCCTTTCTAGGGAGAGGCTGGCCATTGAGCTCTTCGGCCTCAAGAGCACCATTAGCTGCCTGCCTTATCCCGGGCCACTCCCGCCTCCCCTGTCCCTGCCCACTCGTGAGTGCCAGGAAATGTTTTCCTTAATGTTGCAACAGAGCCCCATCCATGCTGCTGCCAACATGGACATGGGGGCGGGGGCCAGAGGAGACGATTGCAGCCCTAGAGTATGCTTAATAAGTCCATATCAAAACCATAAACCCTGCACTGCCATAAATTCCTCTGGCCTTGGTTCCTCCACCTCATCAACCCTTTGCCCCAGTTAATCTCAAATCTCAGTACTGGTGGCCAGAACTTGGTTTCCATTTCAGTTGCAAAACATCAGCTTGGGAGGCAAACAGCAAATCCTATTATCCCCATTTTAGAGGTGATGAAACCAAGGTTCAGGGAGGTGAAGGCACTTGTACAAGGCACATAGCTAGAGAGCAATTGAGCCAGGACTTGAGCCTGTGCTTCTCCCAACCCATGTGGCCTCGTTGAGAATGGGGAAGGCTGCTTCCCCAACCACAATACTAGAAGCTTTTCCTCCCGTATTCCAAATGGAACCCCATTACTCAAAGAGCAGGGATGAGAAGTGAAAGGGACTCTGGGTGACAGACAGGCTGGGTGAGGAGCCAAAGGAAGTTCCATGCAGCGTGAATGGCCCGTCATCCCAAACCCGTGGCATTGTCATACTTCCTCTTTTGTGGAACCCAGGTCACCTTTGATCTCCATTTCTGGAATCAGTGTGTCATATGTAAATGCCAAGACGTGATCTAAGACCTGAATCACAGGATCCCATGCAGCTGTTTGATGATGGGGGAGCAAAAAACCAAATCCTGATGCCAAGGGCAATGTTTGTTGACCTCTTTGTCAAGCATTACTAGACATAACTGAATCCCCACAACAACCCCGTGAGCCAGCTATTCTTGTTCTATTTTATGAACGAGGAAACTGAGGCTCCGAAGAAGGGACTTGTTTCTTCATACATCTGTCCAGGGCCGGTGCAACAGCTGAACTTCAGACACCCGTTGTCCGGCTCCAGGGGCCCCCATGGTAGAACGGAGGAGGGCACTGATGAGTTAGTCTGCGTGGTGGCGCAGAAGGAGTGTGGGCTGTGAGAAGTTCATCATTTGACAAACGGTGATGAGCAGATACCTGCACCAAAGCGTCCTGGGGATCATGAAGAGCTAGCACCCCCAGGAGCCTCCCTCTCGGCACTGAGAGTTTTCACTTGTGGGAGAAAGTAACAAGCAGCTGAACACTGAGAGGCTAAGGAGTGAGGGCGACAGCTGTTCAGACGATGGATCGAGGAAGGGAGAGATTACTGCGGCCTGGGAGAGAGAGGGGTGTGCACATGCAGGAGAAGGATTGAGAGGCAGCAGCAAGGGAGAGAAAAGACAGAATGAGAGACCGAGGGGAGAGAACGGGCAGTGGGCTGGGCAGGCAGCAGGAAGCACAATCTGTGGCTGCAGGGAGGACGGAGGCCAGCGCTTTCCAACCTTCCGGCATCGCACGCTTGCGCTCCACCTTGATCCGCTCCACTCCGAGGACCGCTGTACTTAACATTCCGCCACTTAACATTGTTCTTGAAATCAGTTCATAAGTACTGTCTTTACCCTCATCTCTGACATAAATGGGAAACCAGTGTCACGTACAATAAATAGGTGATTGAAAAATGAAGATGAAAACAATATTTTTAAGGTGCAACCAGAGAGGATTGCCCAGGAAAGCTCTGCTCTTTCTTCTTCAAACGAGAAATTGGCAAGTATTTAGAGAGGTGTTAAGGGCCTGTGCTATCCAATGGAGACTCTCTCCTTCACGTTTCCAGAAGGAAGGAAGCCCTATGAAGAGACAGGCTTGGAGGATAATGTCATTTCATACCACCGTCCCTGTGTAGCCCTAGAATCACTCAGCATGCCACTGAAGTCCTCATCCCACACCTGGGCCAGGTGGGGAGGGCCTCAAGCACTGGACATTTGAAGGCGGGGGAAGGCTTTGGCCAGATCTGTGTTTTTAAAAGGTCATTCTGGCAGCTTCGTGGGGGACGAGGTGTCCATGAGGTGGTTCAGGGGAGAGATTATGGCAGCTTGGGCTAGAGTGGTGTGGTAGGTGGACAGAATTCAAAGGTGCCCCAGGGGACCCTCTGGTCTATCCACACCTCCCAATTATTCATGCGACACTAATCTAGGTGCTGCTGGGAAGGGATTGTGCAGGAGTTATGAAGGCCCCACACCAGCTGACTTTGTGAGAAGGAGAGTATCCCTGGTGGGCCTGCCCTCATCAGGTGAGCTCTTAAAGGGGCTGGGATCTTTCT